GGAGCCTGCACATGTATAGTATGGTGCTTGTGTTTACACGGAATAAGGAGGCATGCCGTAAGAATCTTAATAAAACGCCACATAAGGAACGATGAGACCGTGCGTAATTGTACAAAGCGAGCCAATCATACGGATTTTTTTTGCATTTTCATGCTACTTTGACATTTATCACCATCTACCTACGTAAATACGTAAACAAACATTCTTCATGAATAAAACGTTGAAACTTTATAGGAAACGCTAACACGAACAGATAACAAGACATTTGCAAAAACCTGTAAATAGCAATGTTTGATTGATTGAAAATGATAAATAGATAGGCGTGCGTTTTTATTTTGATACAAAAAGTCGAGTCCAAAGTTTTTGACGTAATTTTTTTTAATGAATCAAAAGTAAATAAATACTGATGTCGGAAGTGTTGGAGCGGCTTTTTTATGTTTGAACAATCATTAATTAGATGCGTTTTATTGGCTCTTTATCGATGAAGATCCTCTGATATGTGCCGAGAGACAGATTTATTACTCGTACAAGGTAATGTTTTGTCGACTCTTCCGTGTTCGGGATATTTTGTGCATCATTGTTTTGCGCCTAATTTCGCACACACCTTATTATAATGTAGTACATTACCATTAAAGTCCATATACAGCCAAAATAAATTTATAATAAATCAATCAACGTCGTGATAGTGATAATGTCAATAAATAATGTGGGCGTTGCCAATGCTTCTGATTATATTAGTCAATATACTCGGATCAGATGTCGGAGGTGTTAAAAGTTTGCGTTGACATTATAAATTTGCTAGAATTTATAAGGATAGTGTTATAAACATAGTGTAGCTAATTAATCAAGAAATAAGGTGTAAAGATGTATATATTAATTACGTTAAAAGTGAAAGGTGTAAACATATGATACGACAATGAGATATAGTAAGTAATGCATATCATCCAGTAAGTGGCAGGCAGTTCAAAGGCGGCCGCCACTGAATTGATACGGTGTTCCGTTTTGTAATCGATGTGTCGCATAATTCATGAACTGACCGCATGTAGGCTTATGTCTCTGATAGATTTGACATTATGTGACAGATTTATTGGTTATTTTTAGTGAATTTGACGTACTAAAATATTTTAACTGTCTTTAGCTATTTTTTAATTACATTTGTTCAAGAATTACAATAATTAAAAAAACAATTTTATGCGTCAGAACAACTAAATCAAATGGAGGTCATTGATCTTTAAAAATAAATATGAAATAAAAATTTGAATTAAAATGATGACGATCCTGTTCACAACAAACTTCCTAAGTACAGACGAAGGGCTTGGCGAGTCTAACTCTACATACAGCTACATAAGGAGGCAGTGACTGCAAGTGTCTGTGTGAAAGGTCAGGGTAGCTCAAACTACATGGTAATTAAAGGTTATTTTTGGCGATAACCATCAGTAAAACAGTTACCTACGTGCGTGAAATAAAAACCCACTGGTTCCACTTCAACAAACCTTGGGATCCAAAACAGCCTTGGAACGCAAAAAGTCAACGCTTTCATATACTTTAGTACAGAGTTAAGGGCTGAAGGGATTTTTTCCATCATGTACTTTACTATTATAAGGATAAATACCTGCCTCCGATCTTCTATCTACCATAGATATTATTATATTATGATATTTATCCGATAAATATAGCACGATGTACAGATTCCGACGCCTTTCAAATATTTTCCGCGTGAACTTTCAACTTTCGTCTCGGAAGAGAGCGCTCGTGATACATCGCCCAATAAATTGCATATCCAAGAACCAACCTCTCGAGTCAAGGCAACTTAGTGAGTGACTCTTTTAAACGAGTAATGAGAACGGCTGATCGATACCCAAATAAATTCGCCAAAGTAAATGACACCACAACAAATGATCAATTTTATACTGTTCCTGCTGAATCATTTATACACAGTGAACATTCAGTGATACCGACACACAACCGATTGTAACTTCTGATCGGACTCGTGATTATTCCACGATGTTTATAACATTGATAAAGGATGTAAAATCGGTCTTAAATGTGTCAGGAATTGATAAAATCTGTAATAATAAAAACCCACACGAAAAGGTCAATTAAGAGATTGTTCTGCACACAGATTTAGATAGAATGGACACCTGCGGAAAATAATTCACATATCGAACTAAAACAAAAAAGAGGAATAAGGTTTGCATGTGTCAAGGCAGTAAATACGAAGGCTGTCAAAGCTGTCCACGGAACGCTAGTGCAAAAATAAATCGGTCGGCGCAAATTAAAGAAACGCATTAAAAATTCTGATTTACAACCAAAATTATAATACAATGGACATTGTTAAATTTATATCTCCTTATTCAATGATCCTGCAATACATGTAAGCTTACGTTTTATTGTGAATTTCTTATACATTTATCATCTTTACGGTCTGTGTATAATATTATGTTAAATATTTGATTCTGTTCGAAATTTTTCTTAAAAGTAATTCAAATTTGCATAATGTCTTATCATTAATATATTCGGAGTTAAATGGCCCAAATTGAAATAGTGGTGTCATCATCGCGAGCAGACTCTATGGCGTCGAGTCGTTGGATCTACAGTTTTATTATATACCTACATGTTATTTATGGTTTCATTTATACTTGTAACACTACGTGACCAAGTGGTCTGTCCAAATTAATATAATATTCATGGACCATAAATATTGTACGATCATTAATGAAAATAGACATCGAGAGCAGATACAATAGATACTACTAGCGGTATGATGCTTATTCTTAACTAGCTGACTAGATAAACTTCGTACCGCCTAAAATTTCTTTTTCTTACCTTTTAAACCTTCCCTGGACTTCCACTGACATTTTAAGATCGAACTTTTTATAAAAGGTTTGTGATAAAGTCGATTTCCTGATCATTACCTTATTAATAGTAATAATCTTTTATTTTATCATCATAATATCAAAATAGTATACTATTAATAGGATACTATACTTATTTGTTATGGTCTAGTTAGCATTATTATCAGTGCCTAGAACCTAATTAGAATCTTAGAAACGATCGTTCTAGATACAAAATATGGTAATTAATTCAATATGCCACTAAAAAGCAAAATTATACCAATTTTATTTCATCTGGCATGCCAGGAATTTCTTTTTCTTATTTTTATATTAAGCAAATTGCAATAATTTGAATTAATCGAACACACGTTATGGTAATTTCAAGACTTTTTTCTTTAAGTTGTTTCTTTTTAAATGTTAAGTCCTAAGTAAATGATTCACAATCATTTAATGGCCGGCTTGAAGTAAATTAATATTTTTAAGGTGACATACTTGACCCTGGAGTTTGTTTAATAAATTGATCTATTCTTTTATTTGCCACTGTGGATATCGACGAGCTATTAATTTAAAAAGTATATCTATAGAATTACTTAACTTTGATTAGTTTATTTTTGGCAGAATATATTTTATAGATTTTTTGTAGTTAAACATTTCGATTAAGTGTTTCTTATCGACTTCCTTAATTATTAAAGGGCGGAAGGAAATCTTAGTTTCCGATATGATAATGTTAAGAAGATCTTGAAGCAATGTTTTTACGTATCTACTTATTAAAGACATTTATATGGTTCTTATATCTTATATAATTAGGATAGTTTTCCAATTAAATACTTAATTATATAAGTAGGTCTTGGTACCGTCCATGTTACGACTATTCACAGCTTGTCAACTTATATTGTACGTGATCTGTTAAATGATATATACATTCCAACAAATTGTCACATTTTAATTCCAATCTCCAAAATCCTTTTTTAAATTTTTAACAAATTTTTATGTTAATTTACACACATTTTGTACATTATTTCTTATTTTTTCGATATTTACATTATTATATTTAAATTTTCTGTAACACATGTTATCCATTAAATAATAATTTAGACGATTAAAATAATCTCGATGCACGTGCATGCTAAATTAAATGTAAAAAAAACAGATTTATTAGTTTAACGTTTACAAAATGTGACAAAATGTGTTTAAATTGACAAACATGTGTTTATTATTACTTTATATCACTTTTTTAATTTAATATATTTAAAAATCATGTAGAATTGAAATTAATAATTGTTTTGACAGAAATTTAATTTAGAAATGTTTATTTTGTCGCTCTAATAGTTTATATTATGTAAATTAATATATGACGTGAATATTGATTTGGGTTCATGCCCTGATAAATAATGGTGTCAGATTATGCGTGACCGCATGATCATATCACTAATTTATTAGAGGCTTAACATTTTAAAACTGAATGTTGTTAATTTAAATTATTCAAAAGCGACCTTTTATCGAATCAATGTATTGACATGTCATTTATTAAAATATGAATTAAAACTCCTACATTTGAATAAAAAGAAAAATCCCTTTCCCACTATCCCAATATATTTAATATCGGTAGCAGTTATTAAATTTTACAACTACTACTATACTGAGTATACCTATGTATAAAGAAGTTGTTGAAATAATATGCGACTTACTAATCTGAATGTATTTTAATATTCAACCGTAATGTATAATAGTGCCATCTATGAAACGCTTACACAACTAAGTTAGGTTTAAGTTGACCTCGTCGCTATGGAGTATACTTGAAACATGTTTTCCATTTTTGTAGTGATACTATAAGCCAGTGTTGATTTTGCACGCCATCTATTGATAAACCACGATAAGTTAGAATTTCCTCACTTGCATTTTGATTCGCTAGGGTGCGCTAGCTTTCTTATATCATAGCTACGCCAACTGTTTAAAAAAGTCTTAAAATGAAAATAGGTAATTTTGCTTTTGTAGTACTGTATGTAGAGGTACATACCTACCTAATTTGTATCTGCAGGAAGCTGTAGAACATATAAAATAACAAAAATGTTTTTATGAGACCATATACCTGTAGAATATAAGTGTCAGTTTGCAACTATGAATGTGTAATCTGTAGCTACTTAACTTTGGTTGGGAATAAGTTGAAAGGAAACTCAGTTTAAAGAACATAAAAAAATACATTTATTCCATATAAAACATTAAGAAAAAAACTGAAATCGAACTTTATGTCTAAACATCAATAAATAAAATAAATAACTATAGGATATCCTAACGACATTCTATAAAAACTGGGTAACATTCCTTCAGATTCTCATCGAACACGGCCTTAGCTATTGGTTCGTGTGAATTTCTCATTTTTATCACTGTGTTATTATTGAGCGTAATTTCATTGAAAGGGTCGACCACTAAGTTATTATACGGATGAACTACGAAATTTTCGATTTCTTTGATTTGTTTCGCATGTCCGCTCTTGAAACCTAATTCGGAGCAGATTGCTTCTAACTCGTTCTTTGTGTGGTTCGGTGAGGAGTAGCACTTGGAGTGCCAGACCCCATGACGCCGAACTGTCACTTGACCGGTTCCGTATCTGAAAATAGAACAATTGAATTTGTAAAGAACGTCTTTTAATAAAAATAACACATTTATTTTCTTGCAACGAATATGCAGTAGATTGATTGAGAGACGCCAACTTTACTAGTAGTCTTATTCCATTACCATGAAAGGAATCAAATAGCTAAATATTAAGCAGTTTGTAATATTTTCATGGAATTTTAGAAACACCATGCAGTCATTATTAACTAATGATGTAGTCATAAACAAAAAAAAATCCTGTAATAGTTTTTTTTTCAAGATAAGACGATCATGAACTCACGGTGTTCCATGTGGAGCGTTGAGACCCATGCAGACTTGCTCATCTTCCCCATTAGGGCAATCCCGAACACCATCACACACCATGTCAGGAGCCACGCAGTGATCAACGCCTAACTTTGAACCGCACCTATGAAAAAAAATTAATTAAAATTGCTACTAAACAGCCATTTTTCAAAGATATTGTTATAATGAATTCTGTAATTTTACAGTAAATACACACAAAAAGAAAATGATAAAGACGGATACAAATTATTCACCAAGTAGTCTTGTTTGACACGGTTGAAACATCAATTTGATAGCGAGAGTAGCCCCTTGTATTTATCTTAGTGTCTTTTTACAATGAATAATAACTGGCAAGTAAATAAAGATTTTGTTGTTTAACATGTGATTAGTGCAAAAGAAAAAAAAAACACTCACTTATAACTCTTCTTCGCGAAACATTTACAGAACATAGGATCTTCATCGCTTCTATCATGACAGTTGAGGATTCCATCACACAGTTTAGATGGCATTACTCTAGCCAAGTAGACTGAACATACTGAGCGTCCAGGCTCATCAGTACCGTCTCCACAATCATCGTTTCCATCTTGGAACAGTTCCTTCGATATACATTTGCCATTGTGGCATTTCATTTGGCCGACTGAACATTCTGTAAAAAAGAGACCAATATCATCCAGTGTCTTTCCAAAATTGTATTTTATTTTTAAGCCAAAGCATATGCTTTTCCCAAGGGACCTCCCTTAAGTAATTTTTGGGTAATTGTAGCTACGTATCTCAAAAACGGTTTTGTAAATGCATTTACTTGAACGATATCTGTAATCATTTTGTTGCTTAAAATAGTATCTATCACGTTATTAAATATCGAGATAATAACTTTTACCACATTGATATTATGAAATACCTAACTTAAGCCAGCCTACCACTCATTTATGACATAATCTACAACTCAAACATAAAAAGGTTTCTCCTTTATTAAATTGCCATCAAGGACCCTCAAGATGATATTATGAAATTCTTTGAGTTAGAAGAATGAACATGGACTAAAACTTTTTATGGACAAGTACTTATTGCAGTACTAAATAAAGTTCATATAATAAGAGAAAATGTAACACTATTGTAACTTTTTCGACAAAAGACTTAAATTAGTGCACGTTTCTGACGCTCATTACAACTTAATTACAAAAATCTGGAACTGTGCGGTAAGCAAATTACTACATACGATATTTCGCTAATTTAATTCATGCTTAAACGTATTCATGTTAAAATGTATGGAATTGACATTTGCATTCGATTACCTAGGTCAAAGTTATGACCATACATTAACTTTTATCTTCTTTAAACTCGATTCGACTAGCATTGTGCTATTTTGGCTAGCCAGTTAAAAAAAAATCCATATAGAAAAATCTAATCTGCCACCGCGTTTTGACCCTTAGGAACAGAACACGTGGCTGAAACCTCTGAGAAAACCTACTTACATTATAATTGAAAATTCGGTGTCAAGTGATGAGAAATTCGATACACCTATTTTTAACGGCGAAAAATGAGATTATGTCATCACGTGTGGTTGATGTATGGACTTCAAATATAATAACAAAATATGTAGATGAGATACACAGTTTGTATTCGAGTGTAGATTACAAAGAATTCTACGTACGTGACTTATACCAGACTAGAGGATTAGAGCTCTATGAATTTCTTTATAAATTTAAATATAAATCAATGTAGTTTGAAAATTTACGAATTTTCGGTAATTTTGTCTGAACCATGATTTAGAACCATTATAGAACCTAAAGTACCAAATTATTCTCTAATAAACTAGAAGTATTTTTCTAATATTTTTTAACTTACCGCATCCTCGATGGTATGGATCGTTATCACACATTGTATGTTTTTTCTCGCAGGCTTGTTCAGATTCATCATTACCATCTTCACAATCTCTGACACCGTTGCAAACTTCAAGTAATCCCACACACCGACCTCGTCCACATCGCATTCCTTCGCAATCGTCACCAAATTCCTTCTCGATTAAAGACGGTAATGTCTTCTTACCTACGGATGCCAAAATAAATTGAAAAGTGTTGTCATTTCCTTGAAAATGTATCGGCGAGTTAATATTTAAAGATAATTTCCTGAGGGATTTCAATTGATAAAATCATATTTGAGTATAACATTTAATTAATTTTCTGACAAAGAATATTTTCTGGGTAGATCACAAGACTAGAGAGATAGACAGATAGATATTTATAGAATATTTATCGATGTTTCAGTTTAAGACTCCATTAAATTCTGAATTAAATTATCATCTTTAAGCAATAAGTATGTATTTCAATGAGTCGCGGAGAACCTAACGGGTAACCGGGGCTCCGGCTCGACGTGCAGGAGAAGGAACGGGGTGGTTTTTAGTCAGTAAGAGTCTGACACTCCCTCCCGCCTCACCCAGGCGGGAGCAGTTATTCGATGATCTTTCCCCCTTAATAAAATGTATTTCAATGAGACATTTTGACTTACCATAATGTCTGTGTATTTCGTGTTTAAGATGGTCTATATCTGTAGCATTAATATGGTCTTGTAATCCACATTCTCCTCGGCCATCAACGAATGTAGCAGCTGGGTACCATCCCTGGTCAGTATGACAACTTATGATACCAGCCCAATGTTGGGTCGATTTCACCTCAACCTAAAATAATGTTTAGATGTTAAAGTACAGATTATGAAAATCTAAAAGAACATTTCCGCGTCATCAAAATCTGCTATTTGAGATCTAAATACTAAAACAAAATGAAAATAATAACTTTGTACATCAATTTCAACTCACTGGGCAAATATTTTCTGTGGATTTTCTTTTGAAACAACGATTACTGGGGTGACAGTTTTCATTAGTTTCTTCCAAAAATACGCTGATTGTATTGTTTTTGTAGTCTTGACCAACGGCTACGCAAGTTGATTTCTCTTCTGGAGTGTACCTAAAATAGAAAAGAAATATGGTATATAAATTAATAAAATTAAAATAATAGTATTGGTTAGAAAAAAAAATTTTATAAAATTAGAATAATGGTGGTTAGTTGTACCGCGTGACAACGCAAGAAAAAAAATATACGCAAAGAACTATAGTTTAAAAGGGTATGTTTTGGAAGTTTAAGTTGAGTTCAAAATACTTACGGAGAAGTAACAATCATAGGCTTTACGACATTTGAATAATGAGCTGGTTCTTTCAGGTGCAACAACATTGCTTTATTGCGATAAATATCCTTTTTGTAATCCACTTGATAAACTTGTTCGTGCATGCTGTTCAAACCTTCTAAAGTTCTATGCGATCCTAGTACAACTGTTACGAAGTGATGAGTTAGTCTGAAACAAGAATTTCATAAAAAACTTTGCTCAAATGATTATCACAACCAACAGTGTACTTGTATATATTTGTCAAACTTACGTGGAATCCCAAAGGCAAGAATCACTCACTAAAACCCAAGACAGATTTACTAAAACTCCAGTACATCTGTAGTCTCCCTCAACAAAGACTTTCGCAATCCAAGGCCATTCACGGTTACTGACTGATGAATCTCGTTTGAACACACTGTTTTCTGAATCATCTTCATCATCAAAGTTGGTGAACAGAGTATTATCACAAGCTACGTACAAAGCTTTGCAAGTTTTTGTTACGTTTGGTACACACTCTTCCTTAAGGACTTGGGGACCTTTTATGATGGTATGTCGGCTTGTATCATTCTCAGAACCTTCCATTCGATAGGCGAATTGGACAGGAACACGCTCCTTCGTATCTCTTCGATGCCTGTTGTTGTGTGTTTCAATTCCCATTACATCATTCTCGTTGATATTTATGTATTTCACAGGATATCTATTTGCACCGCTGTAACATAACTTACTATTATTCAAATGTACTTGCAAAATATAAATTACAATTAAAATCGTCGTTGACTGCCTCATTGGCCGAGTGGTTGCAAGTGCGACTGCTGGACAAGGGTTGAGACTCCGTCAATTACTGGGTCTGGCTAAGTATTACTGGGATTTTTAAAATAATCTAATAATCTCATTAGTAGGTAGCACGGAGTCTGGAATTGTGCCCGGTATGTGGTTATAACATAAATGATAAAAAGCGGGTGTTACATGTACTGTGGCATTAAGTGTCGTAATATATACCTTTGCCTACTCCTCCGGGGATACAAGGCGTGATTTTATATGTAATATGAAAAACTGAAGAATCATTATGTTTTAATTTATTATTCAGGATTTTTCCACTTGTATTGAGTATACCAGAACTAAATTGGTTTGCATTACCTAAATCCTAAGTAGCGACATATGTGCGTAGCTGCTTGTTCTTGCTCCTCATTAGATAGTTGATCATAACAGAGTACATGCCACTCATTGTTGAAGTGTTTCTTTGTTAGGTAGCCCTCTAGGTTTACTAGTGGTCTTTCATCTAAGTCGAATTCCATTTCTTGACCGTTGGATAATGCGTCTGAAAATCATTAAAAAATTTCTATATGCATTCGTTGTCAGTTGTTGCAAGTTTCTGGACTTATCGATAGGATATTTTTAGTATGAGTTATGGACAAAAGGATAAAATTGTATTGAAATATACTTACAGCAATTCATTTCATCTTCGCCTAGAGGACATTCTCGTTTTCCGTCACAGACATGTATTTCTGGTAGGCAAACCTGGCTTTTCTTGCATAAGAAATGGTCTTCTGGGCAGCTGACTGAAAGTTTATTATGTTAATAAAGTCTTACTTTTACAATTTCATGTAAATACGTTTTTGATTGGTCACAAATGCAATAGTCTAACATACGGTAAAATGTACCGTATGTTAGACAGGCAGGCTTATAAAAAAAAAATTAAAGAGTTCAGTATTCGGTCACCGAATTTGAATTTACTATCTAAAATAGGTAACACAACATTATTCTCACAACAGTCCTGTTCATCTTGTCCATCAGCACAATCAGATATTCCATCACATATAAGCTTGTCGTCGAAGGTTATCAAATAGTCGGTACATGTGCAGTCTAGTTCATCAGTGCCATCCTCACAATCCGCTTTTCTGTCACATCGATGCTGATAAGGTATTGTTTGCTCAATTCTGAAAATAAATAATAGATTTCATTCCTGTCTTTAGTTTAGCAGTGTAAAGGTAAAATATTTTTTTAAACATTTACCGTCTGCATTCAAATGTAGGGGGGTTACGGTGTTTTCTCCTTGATTTGGGTGGTTCCAGTTCAGATGTCACTATATCTTGTAAGTTATCTAAATTATCTGTAACTGGGAGTGATTTGGAACCTTTCTTTTCTTGATTAATATTTGCAGTGATTTGTTGGAGTTCTTTGTGAATTAGTTTTGATTCTGCTTCTTGGTCAGGTGATAATGTTTGCGATTCTGGCAAAAGTTTTACAATTAAACCTGTATCGTTATCACTGTGGCTATTTACGCTTTCTTTCACATTTTCGTTGCTCAATAACGACGTCGCTTCTTCTTCTTGATCCATAGCATCTTTCACTGTTAAACCAGAAGTAGATGTTTCTGTCTCACTAGCGGTGTTTTGTGCAAAAACGTTGTTTGTTACATTATCTTCAACATTCAAATAATCATCAGTTGTCATGTGTTTGATTGATGATCCTGATTCGAGGGATGCTGGATCGAAACCCATGGTTACAAATTCTGTATCCCCACGACTGATAGTGGTCATTTCTACTGATGACCCAGTTACTACGTTATCGTTAACACCCTCTGAGCTTCTATCATTGTTTCCAATCATAGTCTGTGAAAAATCTGGTGTTTCTTCAACTGTTTTCGGTTGATCATTTGAGTTTTCTTCGCTGACAATGTCTTCATCCTTTATAAGTTTTTTGCTTTCCCATTCTTGATTATTTAAGTAAGAATTTTCTGTTGAAGAGAGGATCTGTTCGTTATCACGTTGAGGTTTTGGAGTTTCATTATCGAATGGCATCTTAGTTGAGATAACATTTTCTTGATTCCAAGTAGTAGACATTGCTAGATTATTTTCTATTGAAGATGGGGGTTGTTCATTATCAATTTGAGGTTGTGTAGTTTCTTTGACCATTGGCATCCTAGTTGACATTATATTTTCTTGATTAGAGCTGGTAGACATCAAAGGGGCTTCTGTTTCAGCTTCTTTTCTTTCTGGGAGATCTTCCAGTGAATTTTTTGTTTCCATGAGTAAGCTATCATCAGTAAATGAAACTTTTGTGTAATCACATCTTGTTTCATCTTCTCCATTTAGGCAATCAACTATTTTGTCACATCGTCTTTTATTTGGAAGACATTTTGAAATTCCAGTATCACATTTGAATCCTGGACATTCTTGTATTGGTTGAATAGTAGGTAACGTATTGGATGCTGCAAAAAATATTAGAATTGAGTAAAAACTGAGTTATAATGGAAAATTCGTGTTGTAATAAAGATATGTTACTTACATATATAATATTTAATCCATTTTACGAAGAGGCTGACTCGAGTATAAACACCCGGCTCATCTTTACGACCGCAACCGTCTCCGTGACTCACGATGCCTGCCATGTACCATTGTTGTGAATTCAAAGGATTTCTGCATAAAAGCGGGCCGCCACTATCACCCTGGAACAATTCAATGCGTAGTAATTTAGCTTATAAGGTATATGAATATTTATTTAACATATAAATAATGGGATTAAATATTAATTTCTTAGTTTTTATTACAACTTTACGATACACATTACAATCGGTATTGTCTTTATTGTAAAGAGTCGAAGTATGATTTATGAAATCTTTTGCAGTCTACACCATCGTCATAAGAAAATTGTTTACCTGGCATGCATCTTTTCCTCCTTCAACGAATCCAGCACATATTTCTTTTCCAGTTTGATCTTCCCGGTGTTTACAGTTTTCCCAAATAGGCACCTCTACCTCACGCATGTGATCGGCTAAAATAGGCAGAAATATATATAACAAAATATAATTGCAAAATATTTGTTGATATTTGAGCACTGCGATGTTTTCACACTAATCTTTTTACTATCCTACCAGGCCGTTACTCATAATATGAATGTTTTGGAAAAGTCTGTTCGTGATATTATATAGGTATACTTTGTAGTAGTAATTTTTAAACATAGTTAAGTATGTAATTACTTACGATCGGGTCCCTTTTCCGTAGTAGCTCCCCAACCAACAGCAGTACAGATTGTGCCAGGAGCAGGTCCCCAAAGCCAATCAGGACCGGCTGTATCGGGACTTGGTAAACAAATCGGTCGCACCCATCGGCTAAACTGAATGGCGGGCTCGACTCTCAATAGAGACATATCGTTTTTCATGTCAGTTTGGCTATAAAATTGATTGACAATGACATGAGTCACTCTGTGGCTTTGTTCTTGTGGTGAGAATGAAAACCGACGCAGCATTCCAACTTGTACTTCGTAATAATGTTTCCAAAATCTGTAAATTGAAAGAATATATTAGATTAAAATATATGTATATTTTGAAAGTAAAAGGTATATATGAATAATGCTTACTTGCTAACACAATGAGCAGCAGATATCACCCAGCTATGGTTAATGACGACTCCACCGCAATGGAACATGCCGTTTCTGTATACAGCCACCATCCAAGGCCAGGCTGCCGGCTGGCTAGGTCTTCCCCCCACTACCCTGCTCTCTGTTCTTTTGTTCCTCATTGTATCAAAGGCCGACAATCTATTGATTTCCATTCCGTAATTTGTCTTAGTACTATCTTGGTCCACATCTCTTTTAAAACGGTTACCGTAAAACATTGGTGGATAGGCATGACTTGGGAAATATCTTTTGTTTCTTCCAAACAAACGATTTTCCATAATGTTGCTCTGAAGATAGAAAAATACGCTAGTTTATATTGATTCAAATCTTTTATAAGACGCAAGATTCCACTAAGTCGAACTAAATGATATGAATGAGTTCACTGAATCAATGGACTTTAAGATGAAAGATATTTTTTTATGTTTTACTATTTGACGAAAATAAAAATATATTTGTAATTTGTATTCTGCGAATTTCCAGAAAATCACCCAGACATTTGTTGAAGACAGAATCTATTTTAGTTAGTAAATTTAATTCTGAAGATAGGTCGTGAGCGCAATCTATTTTCTTCGAAAATTCAATTGCTTTCGAGTACGATACCTGTTTAAGCAGTTGTGACGTAGACTGCACTCGCGTTCCACATATTAAGTCAGGACATGTGACGTAAACAGCTGACGAGTTCATGCATGTGTCACTTGTTTGTATTAGACCTCCAGGACCAGTATTCAGATAGTCGATCTTCACCATAGGGTCAATTGGAACGGTGCTGATGAAAGGAGGCCTAAAATATACAATAGAGGTTTTTTGGTCCATAGCAATAAAACTGCAATTTTTTGGGAATAAAAATGTGTAGAGTTTCATACCTAATTATGACTCCAGTCTCCCGACGACATGCATCATGAGCCCACATATACGGGTTCTTACATACAGCATACCAGTCACCTTTGAAATTTCTATGCAGAAATCCTTCCGTATTTGAAATAGCAAACAACTGAAAAGTAATAAAATCCATCTATAATAAAATTTAAAATAGCCCACTGATCTCCGTTTTATTATTACAACTTTATGAAAATAAAAATTCATTGTTTTCATAAAAAATATTGGAAACACCCACGAAATCTCAACATTATTGTTCTTACAACTTTTTCGTTATTTTACTTTCATATTTTTTATAATTTTAAATCTATGACAAAGATAACAGACGATAAGGGACATTAACTTGTTTATTTGTCTCAACATTACGATCAATGAAATTATAATTGTTATAAATTATAAAAACGTAGTCTTGCAACTTAGAAACTACAAAGTACACAAGAAAGTCTACTTTAAATTCAAAAAGGTTACTTTTAAATTGATATTGAAGTTACTGTTGACAACTGGATTGTCAGCGATTGACTGAAGTCAATCAGAGTGATGCAATATTGTGTCCAAAAAAAGCACAGAAATGAAAATGGTGTGTCCGTCATCCGTCACCTTCACTTTGATGTATGAGCTACGTGTAAATGAAAAAGTTTCGATTTTGCAAAGTAGCTATTGAAGATGATCCGGTATAAATCGGGTGTTCAAATCTTTAGAAATTCTTTCGAAGATCTTAATAGCTCAAAAACTTTATGGACAAGAATTGTTAGGTAAGAAAAATTATTAAAAAAAATAGAAAAAATAGCAATGTTACAAATAGTTTTATTTGTAGTAATTAAAGTGTTCTTACTGGTTTTTTAAGTAGACTCGGAGCTAACATGTTGCATTCCAGTTCGTCTTTGTGGTTTGGACAGTCTACAACATTATTGCATCTCTGCTCTTTTGAGAAGCAAGTGCTTTGAGCACTGATGTCTAAGTCTTCGCAGCTAAACATAGTTTCACTACAACCTGAAATAATTAAAACATCGTAGGTAAGCTGCGAACTTCTTTGTATTTGAAAAAAAGTAAAGTATTCTGTGAAAGTTAAAGAGTGCTAAGATATATATTTTTTAATCTAAATTGGTTTAGAATATCCATTTTCTTATTCTGCTATTCAGCAAATAAATGACTATGATTATCATAGTTTTGTTAAGGCTTGATTACTTGATTAAGTACCTGTCGGAATATTTCTCGCTTCAAAACTTTTGGATGTTGTTAAAAAACTCAAAGTCGACACTAAACTCGTGAATGTTATAAAAAAGCGAGCTAGATAAACTTAGTCGTAGTATAATTACCATAGCAACCCATTTCGTCTTCTCCAAAAGGACAGTCAAAGTATCCGTCGCAGAGACGAGATTTGTCGACTCTGTCCTTGCAAGCACAGCTTGCTTCATCACTGACATCAAGACAGTCGACGTTGCCGTCACACCACTGCTTCTCATCGATACAAGTGTCTCCACTAAGACAGGACACAGTGCCTCGTGGGCACGTCGCTTCCCGAGATGCTTTTGTTTGATTACTCTCCCTAGGTGTTGCTAGTACTCTATAAATTTTCATTTAATGACAAGTATTAGAAAACTGTACTTCTGGACAATATATTGATTTTATAAATAATAGGTATTGCAGATACGAATATTAGACACATAGTTCAGATTCTATCATAAAAGTTTGGAATCGTTTTAACTTGAATACTTAAAATTATTGCGACTCATCAAGAAAAAATGTACCTCAGTCGTCTTTGTAGATAGAAAAAGGACTATATAATTTAAAAATAGTTCAAAGTGAAAAACAAGAAATAAAACGAAACCTTTGCAAAAGAGGATGAATTAGTAAATAAACATTCAACACTTACTTTGGCGCCAGCATGCTCATGAATATATCAACATCTTGAGGATGGATTTTACGCCTCTGCATGTCCATATCCCGCTCTTGGAAATATGGCGTGTGCACGGAGGGCGAGAAAAACCTTTAACAATAAGAAAAAGCAAGTAAACATCTCAGTACAAAAATAAACTTAGCAAATATTATGATAATATATTTAGCAAACATTATTTTACATACCTGGCTTTAGGCATGACTGAATGCTCGTGATGTTGTGTGTGTATGTAGTCAGGAGAGGGCTCATAAATTTCTGTAAAATAATAAAAGTCGTAAGATATTTATAGTAAGAAAATGTAGTAAATAGTACTTTAATCAGACTAACCTTTCGCTCGCGGATAATTCTGTTTTATTAGACGCGCCAATAAACAAGTATCACTAAGATGCTGAGGAGGTACTGAATGGGAATGTGGCACCATATGGGCACTTGTCAGTGGATCAGCATTTCTAGCATTCATCGGCATAGGGACAGAGTCCATAAAATGTTCGATATTCATCAACGTATCCCGTTTTGTAAGGTCATTAAAATCAATACTTTGCTTTGCTTTACCTTCAGCGGCGACTCTTTGCACGTTATTGTTGACATCCAAATTCATTTTAGGTTGATCTTCTTTACTATTCGTTTCATCGTCGTTTTGTAGTGCTCTCAATTTTGTAACCAAGTCTTTACAGATCAAATTTCTATTTTCTTGTCTGCAATGAACATCGTATTCCATCATCAGGTCCCTAGATTTCTGTAACAGTTCGTCACTGTAAATGATAGGTTCTTCCGTGTTAACTGCAGGCTTTTCTGAGGTGATTTCTCTTTTCTTTCTTAAAACAATTGAAGGCTCTGATGTCAGTTCTTGTTCGGAAGTTTCATTTTTCTCTTGTTTATGAATAGAATACAATTCCATATTACGAAGCGTTACATTAGGAAGGTCATTATTCCCAGTGACAATTATTATTTTCGTGGAATCTGTAAGTGAAACAAATATTAGATATCACAAAATGTAATAATTATCTAATTACTAACATTATAGTTTCACTTACCAGTGTTTTCAGATATTCTTAAGAGTAAGATGTAAGTGCCTACTGCGAAAAATGTTAGCAGTAACAATAATAGCAGTTTTTGTAATGAAGGGAATAAACATCTGTTCCCTCCATTGTTATCGCGACCTGAAATACGACAAATAGTTGTATTGAATGTTGATTAAAAAGAATACAATCGTTCATTATTAGGCATTTTGGTTAAAGATAAAAGTTATAATAAAAATATCATACTATTTCCCGATGACTCGGCCAACTCCATTGGTGGAAGGCCCAACTGGTCCCAACGTTCCTTCATATTTTCACTGGTCATCTGGAAAAAGATAAGATTTTTAATATATTACTATTAAATTGTATCATACCTACTAAAAGTGTAATCGGAAAGTACGTAGAACTAAAAAGTATCTTAGTTGAAGACTTCATGTTAGCCAAAATCTCTCGATTCTAACTAACACCTAATTAAGAATGAATAAAAGATCATAGAAGCGATATTATTAAATATCGATAGGATCGATCTGCTGTCGTCGTAGGACATTGCTATAATAAAATGAACATTATCGTCGAGTAGGACGCGCCTATATTGATATTGCCACATAAATTAATGTTATTATTTTGCTCCGAATAAGAACAGAAGGTGCGTTGAATAAGATGCTAAAATACAATTTATTTTTTATAGGAAAACAGAAACGTAACAAGAATCTTTTAGCTAATTTGTAATACGTTAATCAATCAATCTATGATATATAAGTCGTATCACAATAATGTAGCTGACGAATGAAATTTCTAATATTTCTAATCTCCGGGTTCTGCCTTGCTGAGCAAGTAAAATTATTGGTCTCGGATAACAATCAGTTTTTAAAAGTAAATTCTTCTTTAGCTACTTATATGATATAGCTAAAAGTTGTCCCTGACCTCGAGCTACAGATTGCTACAACAGCATAAACAGGATATTCATTTAACTGAACGTGGTTCATAGAATATTATGCACTCGAAACTTCCTCGACATGGGGATCAAATTTCCGTATACGAGAACAAGATAACAATTTGATTAAGAACATTGATATAGGTAAATATCTCGTATAATTATGTACAAATGAAATATACTTATTGTATGTTATATAAAAAGAAAAAAATATGTTTATAGTACAAGAGATCTTATGAAAAACGTTACTATATCCAAACTACTTCCCGGTAAATGCAAAAGTTTATTTGTTTGTTGCGCTTTTACTTCTAAACTACTGAACCCATTTTGATGGAAATTAATATCAAGATTAACACAACGCCGAACGGTGCTTATCGTGATAATAAGGATTAGTTTAAGGATGTGTCGTTTATGGATAAAATAAACATTGATATGATTTAACCACGACGGGACATTATTTCCATTGCAATTGTTCTAAGTTCAATGAAAATACTTTAAGAAACCAATTAAAGTATTTATCAAAGAAAATAATACTTACAATTTCCTACAACTAATGTAATTTTCACTCACAAATCACGACTACACATTATTTAGTAAAATAACAATTAATTTGTTACTTCACAGCTCCGAGCGACCGCTGGCGGCTCACTGACTCTGTACACCAGTGAGTGCACTCCTGTGATCAGCAGATTTCGGGTACAAGTACATTTTTATTACGTTGACACTTTTCGTTGAACGTAAACTGATACGTTTCGGGTATGATTCATTTTTAACCGACTTCATTACACGAAGACATTCGAACATCATAACTTTTTGAATTGAGTGGGTAGAAATGAATCCACGTAATCGTAATTGTAATCGTAGTAATGCTCAAAAGGCCGGCAACGCGATTGTAACGCCTCTGGTGTTTCGGGTGTCCATGGGCGGCGCTGATTACTTACCATGCTTATCCCATAAAAAAGAAATGTTCATCAATTTTGAATTTGGACAGACTTGCAGCATATTCGAAATGCTAAGTTTGTTTGTTTTTCTTTTCATCACGTCATAACGATATGTTTTTATTTTATGATTTTTACAGCCAAACGTGAGGATAGAAAAACGAATCGTTTTTTACCACTCAGCTAAATTTATGGGTAGGAAAGCTAAACATGAATTTTCCAGATCCAACACTTGCTGTAAAGGAAAATAAAAATGATACCTAGGTCAAAAGTGGGGTTGTGTTGGAATCATTAATCAGCTTTATAGCATACAAGTATAAGCACGTAACATATTCAATTATAATGCAAAGTATTAATATTGGGATATTTTGCGTTTCGAATTAAAAAATAGTTTACATTCTATATCTGTTCAATAAGTGCGCAGTGTCAACAAAACATTGTGACCTTAAATCGACGACCTGATTATTACGAAATACTAATTTGCACTAACATTTTTAAAACGCTAAGCAAATGCTTGCACTTGCAAATAATTACGGAATTTAACAATTAAATCTGTGCTAAACAATTTTGATGATGTCTCAAAATATTTGTATTTCATATTTTATGTGTCTTATGTAGGTACTTAAAATGTTTATAGAATAAGCAAAATTCTATTTTACTGAAGATTAAAGTAGGTATCTTATTGATTTTGACCGTTTTTATTAGCAAAGTGGTTGCCAGAGCTATTGTGAAAACCACAGAACATATTTGCACATGTTTGCACTATATTAGGTTCAAATCTAGACTCGAGCAAAGTATTCTGATTTTTTTTAATAATAACACTGAGTTGGTAATTGTGTGATAATATGTTTATTATTACAATAACGACAAACAACATCCTCAATCTTACACACATTTAATAAAAATAATCTAAAATATGTGAACGAAAAATGTTATGACGCAGTATACCCTCGGGAAAATTACTAACATTAAAACAATGTTTCATACAGACAAGACCACATCTGGTATTCATGCGCACATTATAGCTGATATTACCAACATCACACAAAGTTATATTTCCATTCAAACTTCGCCATTTCGCTCACTTTTTTACAAGGAAGTAAGAAATTGTACCCAGTATTACGAACATAACTTAGGATGATGGTTGAAGAACATAGCTATTATGAAAGTTTTTATTAAAAGTGAAAAATAGATAGATACTTGTGTATTTTTACCCCAAGAAAGTAATTCGAAGTTAATACAATAATATTCTTATTTCATCAATTATGTTTTGAGTTCTATATAAAAATGGATACCTTATTTTTCTAAATAAAAACGTTGCCCCACACTAGGATTATCTCCTGTGTTGTGGGTGTGTTTACAAACATACAAGTTCACATACACATGACACCCAGACCCGAAACAACAATTTGTGGATTACAAAAAGTGTTGTTCCGTGCGGGAATCGAACCCGCGACACGGAGCATGGCAGCCGGTTGCCCAGCCACCGCACCAACCGTGCAGTCGAACCTTTTAAAGATAGGATTGGACATTAAGAAGTTAAAACATTAAATGTAAACATGTTTAAAACTAATTATTTATCTGTTTTACAATAGCAGCAAGACATAATTCCAAATTCCATTTGATTGTTAACCATTTAAAAAAAGAAGACGTCTTTATATCAGTTTTACCTATCGCCACTCGACGTAAGAACTGAAACCACTTGCTAATTAAGAAAGAAAGAAACAAAGAAAGATAGAAAAATTGTTTATTTGCACACCGACTATTTGATTTTTTGTTTGTTTTTAAATTAGTCATATTCATAGGAACTCGACCAACGACTCAACCAAGACTTTTAGTACAGAAGTCAGGCTGTGTTTATTCCGAAGCTGTGGACCGCTTAACGGGTACTTGGGACTCCGGCTCTAAGCAAAACAAAAAAAGGCGGTTTACTACACCATTATTAAGATTTGAACAAGATTTGCCATATTTTATAAGAGCAGTATTTAATGCTGACATTTAGTTTGCACAAAATACGAATTCATATAATACGATTGGAAGTGACCCAAGATGGTCATTCTTTACACATCGCAAACTCTTTACGCTTGAAAACACACGTTATTCCACCAAACGTCGCCTCGATTCAAGTCGTTATAAAAGTATTTGTGGACTTGGACACGATTTCTATTGCATTTCATTCAGATTTTACATTTCAAAAATTCAATTCGACTGCACATTTAGCGCGGTGGCTGTGCAACCGGCTGCCGAGCAACGTGTAGCGGGTTAGATAGTAACCTTTTCTGTAATCCACAAATTGTTGTTTCAGGTCTGGATGTCATGTGTGTGTGAACTTGAATGTTTGTACATGCACCCACGACGTTTGAAAAGGTCCTAGTGAGACGCAACGATTTTTAAAAAAGAAAACAGAGAGGCAACTACATATTTATTTGCTTTGTTGGTCCAGTCCAGTGTGATTTTTTAACAAGCATTCAATTCATAGGGAAGCTGTAAGACTAGAATTGTAATGTATACTACCAATCATTAAATAATTAGTTCTAAACACATATATAGACTACTGAAAGTGAATATTACCTACAATGAATCTTTTATTTTTAGGCGTCGACGGCCCAGCCTAGCGTGTTAGTAAACAATACAAACTTAAAAACTATGTTATGCAGTAGTAACATACGAGTACAAAAATGAAATAAAATAATACACAAATACAGCAACGATTATTAGAAGTTTTACCAAGACCCATGTCTGACATGCAGCATGAACAATCTATACATTATAGGCCCTTCTAGCCTTTCTGCAAACACCTTCAGAATGCTGTTGCTGCTTCCCCTCAGTCTGTGTACCACTGATGATGTACCACTTTTTTGGGCAAATAATCATAAAGCCTAATGTATTTTTTTTTTATTTTGGCCATGTGACCTATATATAATCACCTTTGACTAACTATATTACAAATTTTACTGTAGGTACTGTACGTACTAGTCAGGTACAATTCCGAACTACGTGCTTCTACCAGGATTTTCCAGTTACAAAATTCTCAATTCTAAAAGTTACTCAGGACTTTGAAACAGTTACCTTTTTTTCATTCATTAAAAATGTTGTTGTCATCTACAAAATATTATTCTGGCTCTAGATGGTTAGAAGTGACGATGGACCAGGAGTAACCAATGTTTTAGGAAAAGGTCTCAGCATGGGGTCAGCATTAACCGTAACCACGGGCCTGCAATCGTAAGCACGGGCTTGCAATTGTAAGTACGGGCCTGCGGACGGCGAGCACGGGTGACTCGCCGCCCAATCAGACACGGTGCAATAAATGTACAGGGTGCAACTTTTACAGATTTTAGTCAGTTTGATTGCCGTGTGCGGCAAGTGAATTTTAAAAATATTTGAATGCAGCTTTCTTTATTTTCAAAAATAAAGGAAAGTTTTCTTTGAGTATAATTATCTATTTTCAGTATTAAGAGTACTTCCCCTTTAGGTGGCATTACAAAATTCCACCCTGTTTAGATATTACATCGTTATGGTTTATTATGGATAGCCATGAGCAGAAAAATGTCTTTATTAATAGAAAGTCTAGGTTTGTTATCAATTAGTCCGTTTTATATTTAAACTTACTAAGATACGTGGTCAATGTTTGTCTAAGGAAGAGGTGTGGTCATAAAACAAATCAATTAGCTGATCCCGTGCCCGATCCATTAGTTTAATTGATCTTTATCCCTTTCAAGCTTAAAATTTTGCTTTAGAGAATTCAATTTAGATTATTAAGAGATTATCATCTTGCTTGTTGTACCTAACTATAAGAAAGTATAACAAAGTAAATTAAAAATACTATTAGGGATGACAATATGTTATATCGATAATTTTATCGATGTTCAAAAATAATCATTCAGACGTAAGGAAAAGTTGTAAGTTGGTTACTAAGTTCTTTATCCATGACTTCAGCTATAAAACAAATATATTGATTATTGTAATCAGGCCAAGAAAAACTAAACTTTAGTAATAAATGTAATTTTTACGGTATAAACTACTTTAACGTAAGTTAATTATTTCTTTTTTCCTTTCTTATCATCTGGCCTGGTAGGTGCCTTCTTCTTAGGCCTAAATGGACCTAGTTCAAGTCGTACAAGTAGTCCTCGCCACCACGCTTGTACAATAATGGCAGACTCAGTCATCTTCTTTCTGTACAGCCGTGCCCTCTCACGGTCATCTTTGAACTTGTTCCATAGTGTCATTTGATCAGCGTGGTGAGCCAGCTAATAGTAAAAAACAAACGAAATATTACTTAGAGTTAAATCGTATCGGCAAAGTATTACCGATTTTTAAAAATTCTTACTAGTATCACGGATTCTGGCAATGTGCCCGGTATATTATAATAAGCTCACCCCCTATTACATGGGATTCATAACATAAATAGTGAAAAGTGGGTGCTACATTGTACAGTGGCATAAGTGCCATAATGTGCACCTCTGCCTACCCCTTCGGGGATAAAAGGCGTGATTTTATGTTGTGATCATCATGTACATACATTGTAACTGATACAATAAATTATGTAGTAGGCGATTATAAAACAGATATAGTCTTAGAACTCCACTGATTCCAAACCTATGTAATTGGTACATGAATTATGGGAAAGTCAAAGCATTTATTTAAATGAATCCTTAATTAGGCACTTTTAAAATATCAAAATTGAATTGTTCGTCAGACAGTCGGTCAGTGAACCTAGATCCTCGTTCTAAAGTGTAGTTTTAATTGGAGAAGAACGAGACATCGTTACTCTTTTAAAAAATCTATCTATATATTATTATTTTAAAAAATATTTATGTAAATGTTAAATAAAAAATACTGAATATTTACATCATCCTCCATGCTCTTTCTCTTGGCTACTTCATCTTGATATTTGTTCTTCATTATAGTGATTTTTAAGTCTATTGCTTCCATATCCGTGTCGTACTTGTTCATCCAACTTTCCACCTTTGCCAGAGTCTCCTGTACGATAAACATTTCATCATCATCATCATCATAATCATCAACAAAATTTACTATACAACTGGCTACACTCAAGCTATGGTATCTACCGGTAGAACAAAGTCATTAGTGGCTAGTTTCAATAACCTACTAATATTTCTGTCGATGGATTTGGATTCAAAATACAATTTTAATATATACACTTGAATATCTAAATATTGAACTGTATATATTAAAATTGTATTTGTATTAGAGTTCAATATTTAGATATTGAAGTGTAGATATTAAAATTGTATTGGTTTATTAGAAAACCTTAGCTACGTCACAAACACGTGTCATTAATTTTTTTCTGAAAATATAAAAAATGTTTGGTTTAGTAAGGATATCTTACATTGATGAAAACGTTCACGAGCAGGTCAATTTCCGAGTGTACTCTCTGTTCTTGATCGCCTCTGTTTCGGAAGTAGGATATTGCAGTGGAAGGCCCTGACTCTGTATCATTAATAGTTTGTGTGTGCTGTTCAGTGCGTGCGCACTGCCAGTTGGTAATGTACCTTCCTATAATCTCTGAATTCAAAGCTGCGTCCTAAACATTTCAAGAAAACATTACAAATGAGAAAGAAATAGTTCAATAAAGCAGGTTCCTATATGTATACCAGCTATTTTTGACAGCCACCTAAGAATACGCTTTCAAACAAAGGTACATAGCACACCTTTTTATATCCGAAATTGCCAAGGCACACATTGCACTTTAACACAATAGGGAGTGAGCCTATTGTCGAATACTGATCAAACTTCAGGTGCTTTGTGCTGTTGGAAAATTTAAATCAGGTAAAAAATAATAGCGTTACTCACTTCAATTTTACTCCTAAGTTGATCTATAATGAGGTCTGTATCGTAAGCGACCGTTTTAATATGAATCCGTTGTTGTCTTAGTTGCTTCATCAGTTCACGTCGAGAGCTATTAAATCAAACAAAGCATTAAAATAAATTACATTTGATTGATTAGTGAAACTACTATTGTGAAGAATTATTTGGGAAAATTAAAAACAGTTGGTAACTTGGTACATTTATGGTGATTTAACAAACATTGCCGGGTATGAGAAAAACGTGGAATAATGTGACTTCTATGTACAAACAGTTTATTTTTGCCTTCTTCTTCAGCGAGACAAATTCTATATAAATCTTGTTCTTCTACTTCCTTATTGCAACTAGTGAGCACACTGAAACATCTGTACAGTGCTAACTCTAGGTATGTTTCCTCCAATACTTCTTGAAAGTATATTCTGAAAACAACAAAATTGTGTGACAACCTTGGGCTTGGATAAAGAGAAGAAGCATTAACATTCAGCTTTGTTGACATTTCCGTTACTGAAAATATAGTTATCTTTATAAAATACAACTTTACACATCAGATGAGTCTCATAGCAAAGCATTCCCTTTTATGGTTCTGTTAGTAAATTATAAGACATACCTGTCAGCAACAAGTTTGTCTAGTTTGTACTGCATATTTCCCATATCTTTGGTGTTAATCCTGGTCAGATCTTCTCTATGTTCGACACTTTTTATTTGATATTTCTTCGCTCGCAGGATAGCCATGTCAGCCATGGTTTTTATTAAACGTAACTGGTTATTACATTCAGCTGTACGATAATAAAGCATATTAGGATTGTATAACTACGTTTACTACATATCATAACGTCTTTATTTTTCCGTAAGAATGGGCAGAGTTTTTTTTTATTTTATATTGAGCTATGATTTTTCTATAATCGAAACCTCATACCCAATACATTACCTGATCCGGGTTCTGAACTCGAAACCCCTTGCTAGACCTTAAGAAATAATGCAAATTGTTTTAAAAACAACCAAAATAAATCCCTCACCCAATATCCGCACTTGTGCTAAAGAATCTTCTAATGCACTGGCAAACATTATAGCTTGATAATATGGAAGACTGAAAAAAATTGACGTTAATTATTTTTATCGATATCACTATATTTTTTTTAATTGTTACGCACAGCACTAGCGGTTGGTAACTGGCAAGGTAACGTTTTAGATTTTTGAATATACTTCATTACTTGGGCAGGTTACTGTTCTATAAATAAATCCCAAAATACTTACCTACCTATTTATCGAGGTCAGAAGGATGTAATTTATTAATAGAGAAAACGTATTTTTTACGAATAATCTATCTTTATAGGTAACAGAAGATTACTGATCTACTGACAGGCAATGACGTAAATCTACTCAGAAGAAATGATGCGAGTATTTTATAGACATTACTTTTATTTGTGGTAGAAGTACCTAGGTACCTAAGTAAATATTAAGTAAAAAGTCTGTTGCTAACCAAAAGGTAGATTCCTCTTTATGAAGCCCAGAGTGTTTGGAAGTATTCTCACCATCGATGCTCTGTAAAACAACATTATAGTTGACTGCGTCATCAGCAGTACGCACATAATTATGTACAGTCGCGGAAGACTTGGACGTGAAGCGGGTTAGGCCCGGCGCGGCGCCCATTACTGGTGGGCATCGGTGCGGCTCGGGCGCCTAAGAGATGCATGAGTGCGGCTCGGGCGCCTAGAGCTGCATCGGGCGACTTTGGGCTGCCTCGGCAGCCGTGAGCATGGCTAAAAACGCCGAGGCGGTCTTCGTCTTCTCCGGCGTAAAGCGCTTGAGCTGTACCGAGCCGCACCGATGCCCACCGATAGTGGGCGCCTTACCGGGGCTCCATGTCGAAGCAGGAGTACAACAGAGGCCTTAGTACGAGTTTGTTTTGAAAATAATCGTAACGAGTACGCGTTCGGCGCTGTGATTGGCCGGCTCCAATGAACCAACCAATCAGAGCACCGGACGAGGTTTCGTTTCGATTACTTTAAACGAAAAAGAAACTCGTACTACGCCCTCAGAGCGGGTTTAAGTTAGTAAAAGGCGGGAAAATTTATTGAATGATTTTTCTCTCAAAAAAAGGGAAGGAACCTACTAGATCGTACCCAGTGATACGTGTAGATGTTCTAACGCTATTGGTTAGGGACCAGGAACAGTTTTTATCTAAGTTGGGTATCACTATATTACTTTATTTTTTATAATATAACTGCTATCTGTATCTCGCCTATCGGTCTGTGATGATGCAGTCAGCGGCTAAGGATAGTACTCTTTCCTATACGGCCAATGGGTAACTCGGGGCCTACAGGTAGTCCATCTGAAGATACATTTTCAATTTTTTTACGTACTGTTGGTCTCTGTCTGCCAGGAACTTTCCGGATAAACATGTTACCAGCATGCTGATCGCTATCATCACTTCGATTCTTTCTTTTGTGAGTAGTAGTCATAATAATTATCTCAAAATGTATAGCAATAACAATTAAATAGATCGATGTAACACAAACTTATGTAAAAAGTTTAAACAAATTAAAGATATTTCTAAAAATACAAAATCATTTCAAAGATTATGACTGTTAGACAAAATTGTTTGTCCCTTTGACATTCGATTTGAGTGACATAGGCTTTCACAAGCAACATTTTCTATAAGTGTTGAAGGTTAGATGGATTAAAAATTAAATATTGTCTGTGATTCATACTGAAACAGAAAGGCGACCATTCCATGGCCATTCAGAGCGAGTTTCATTACTTAGTAGTTACACGAATTCTCTATACCTACTTAGTTACTGGTTTTTATTTTCGTAATTCTCATGGAGTCTGGGAAGCGGGGATAAGGAGTGGAATGAGAATTGAGAGTGATATGGTAGGCCTAAAAACCAATTCATAAGGGTTGCATGATACATCCTCAGTCTTTAAACTGTCAAACACCAAGCGGTCACCGGTGACCGCGACCTATTGTTCTTTAATTGTGTCTATAAAACCGGTAGGTACTGCTATCATTTTAATTACATTTTTACAATATTTTACTATTAATTTGTAATAATTAATTTACAGACTAGGTTAAAAAACTGACTTCAACCTCTCCCCTCGTTTTGAATGTTAATTAATATATACTAAAACGTTTTTTCCTAAGTGTAACAATTTTCTAAAAACTGAGATAGTCGCCCACAAACATACATACATAGGCATAGGTCAAACTTAGAACCTCATTTTTTGAAGTCGGTTAAAAATTGCCTGTTACATTTAATATTTGGGAATGTGCTTGTCCCTCTTAGAAAAATAAAAGGCTTGAAGCTATGAACTGTTTATATTAACACTATTGCCAAATCGGTTCACCCAGTATGCTAAATAACATAACATCCCGCCTTTTATCCTCAAAGGGGTAGGCAGAGGTGCACATTACACCACTGTACAATGTAACACCCACTTTTCACTATTTATGTTATGAGTCCCATGTAATAGGGGATGAGCCTATTGCCATATACCGGGCACAGTTCCAGACTCCGTGGTACTACTGAGATTTTTTTTAAAACCCAGTAATACTTTGCCCGACCCGGGAATCGAACCCGAGACCCCATACCCGGCAGTCGCAATTGCGACCACTCGGCCAACGAGGCAGTCGCTAAATATAGTATGCTAAATAAATATAAATGGTTAATCAGATAATTTAACTTAACTGTTTTATTGTTTAACTTAACTGTTGCCCGCGACTTCGTCCGCATAAAATATGAATTTTAGAAGATAACTATTTATTTGTTCCAATTTTCCAAAAAAACTAGCCTATTTCACTCCTTAGTACATTAGCTACCTGCCAATAAAAGTCTTCCAAAATCAGTCCCGCCATTTCAGAGGTTAGTCAATACAAACAGACAGACCACAGTTGTAAAAACATGTTATTTTAGTATGTTTATTCATATGCATATAGTAAAAAGCGGTTATTTTAATAGTACAAATAGACACTCCAACTTTATTTATTTGTATAGATGCATTAATTATAATAAATTTTTATAGTAAGCAAATAACTATAAGAACTCAATACAAGTCTACATAAAATGCCTACTAAGCAAGTCTGTGTTTTTCACTTTGTTTTTTGTTTATTAGGCTTGAGTTCTGTGTTACATTTGTGTCTTGTATGTATATTAAGACTAATTTATGAAATAATATTTCATCATTATCATCATCAACAAGCTATACAGCTATACAGCCCACTGCTGAGCTAAGCTCTTCTCACACGGAGAAGGTGGGAGCATTAATAACCACGCTTGCACAGTGTATATTTATATAGAGGTACATACGATACACTTACCAAAATAACATGTTTTTACAACTTTTGTCTGGCTGTTTGTTTGTTTGTCTGGCGATTTGAAAATTATAATTAGAAATTATAAGCCCAGCTTAACTCACGATGTTTTCGTTCACCGTTTGTCAGTTGTATCTATCTAAGTAATCTTAGAAAGTACATATATATCAATAATCTTAGAAAATGCCTGCGGCATTAAGTCCACCTTATGTACGTTTTGTGCATGAAGCTTTATAAATAAAAATAAATATATCTCGGAAAATGTCACATTGGTACTTGCAGGTGGTAGATTTCTAACTCGAATCCTCGTGCATGAGAAGCGGGGGGGTCTTAAACCTCCGGGCCACCACGACATATAAAATTATGTTTATAGTAATGTTAGTTAACTTAATCATTGAGCATTTCAGTCTTGAATTCTTGTAGAAATGTAATAAAATATTGGACTTACGGACTAAGAACAAGCTTAAAACGAATGCTTGGCAAGAAAGATGGAACTATTTTTCTTCCTTGCCAAATATCGCAAAACAAATATCCGTAGTATGCAAGACTTTTTTTTTAATAAACCGGTAAAGCATCAGCATCAGAACAGACGGATCACCTGATGGTAAGCAATCACCGCCGCCCATGGACACCCGAAACACCGAAGGTGTGCGGCGAAACTAGAGGGTTACCGGCCTTTTACGGATTAGGAATTGAAGGATTGTTGGGGATTCGGGGATTAGAGAGATTGGGGAATTGGGCCTCCGGTAACCTCACTCACTCACACGACGAAACACAACGCGTTGTTTCACGTCGATTTTCTGTGAGGCCGTGGTATCACTCCGGTCGAGCCGGCCCATTTGTGCCGAAGCAAGGGTCTCCCACACTATTCGTCATTGTCATGATCGTCATTATCATATCAGCAGTAAAACCACTGAGGAGCATAACTTTCTCCAATAATTTCCAAATGTCAATGACTTTCATAAAACCATTATTCTTTTAATACAAGGTTAATTTGATACGGATTTTTTTTTAATTTGCATAACAAAGAGAACCTGGACGGTCGACAGGTGTTTTATGAAACAAAAAAATCATATTTTAAGTCGAAAATACTTCAATATTTTAACAAGTTAGCTTTGATAATAAATTATCATGTTTCTATTAAATTACGGAAGGTTTTGTTTGGAAATGGTTTGAAAAAATGATTTCTGGGATTTTTATCCCCGTAGACCCCTACGGGGATAAAAAAAAGGCGGAGGCGCACATTACGGCAATTAATGCCACTGTACAATGTAACACTCACTTTTCACTATTTATGTTATGAGTCTCATGTAATAGAAGGTGAGCCTATTGCCATATACTGGCCACAATTATAGACTCCGTGGTACCACTGAGAATTTTTTTTAAAAACCCAGTAGTACTTTACTTGACCCGGGCGAACCCGAGACCCCTTGTCTGGCAGTCGCACTTGCGACTAAATTAACGACACTACTGATCATTTTTATATATTGGTGCCACAAGTACCTACATAATAGTTGAACATTAAATAGGATAATGAACGAACCCGAGATTTGAAATAGAATAAAAATATTTAAATTAATAAATGATATTTAATATTTGTTAAACTATAAAAGAAGAAACAACTTCCATCCATTATTTTTTAAATAAAGCTAGGTACTTAGAAATCAGTAAAAAAAATATAATTAGATTACAGATGAAATCCGTTTTCTTTAAAAGGAGGTTAAATTAAAACTAAGTAATTCAAGGCACGTCTATGGAAATCTTGATCTAACAATTATTCTTATCTTTATTAAATGAAAAGAAAAAAAAACTTTAATACAAATAGATTTCCAGAATTTCTTTATTCTATTTGACGTAGGCTTCTGAAAACTTCAGGAATTAAATTACAACATTGTCACTCGATTTTCTGCCTGAAATTCATATTAAACAAAATACTTCAGACTACATTTTCGTAATGTGAGAACCAATTTACATCAAAAACAATTTGACATCGTGTTACTACTGCTCATTTCTTATGTTCAAATAATGGTTATAAAGTTATAATTCCCCAAAGGATATACCATCTTGTCCTGATGATATCTGTTATATAGCAAAGAGCCGATTTTGAGGTTTGATTTGTCTTAAGGTAGCTATGAAGCTGAAGGCTACTTCACATATACTTGGCCAACTTTTTTTCGTTAACAAAGTATGTTGAGCCGCTGTTCATCCCAGTATTTTTATGTGAATGCAGCAGCAGATACAAATTTTGACTTATTACGTATAAGTCAAAATTTGTATCTATTACGTATAAGTCAAAATTGATTTTTTGAGTATCATAAATACTCAAAAAATCTTTGAAATGACGTCGTTTTCATGTAATATCTAATCTTCCCTGGAGGTTAAATACTTCAAAGAAAAAGGTTAAAAATAAATATGATGAGGTAAACCGACCTTTACATCGAGAGGTGCTCCTTACGTAGATAGGTCAAGGGTTCGATGCAGAAAGTGATTAAATCCTGCATTTTGTGTATGATATTCTGTTATGCTCCTTGGTTGTCGGTAATAACGTTGATTTTAGATTGCAGTTTCACGTAAGTATAGGTCTGTGCTTTCACGATTTGATTACAAAAATATATAAGAGCTAATTCTACTCGGTTTCTGATACAGTCTATTTCAAATCTTGGTTTGTTTTTAAGTTTACATTACCGAAGCTATTCCATTATAGTTCTACTAAGACATAAAATTATGAATGGATTTATAATTATTTTTAATAGATAAAAAGAATGACGCTTTCATTACAACGTAATATAGTTTCATGCCAATTATTGTAGCATAATTGGCGTAAAACAATAACATCTTCAAAATAATGATCGGGACAATAAAATTGTTCACTACCCTTGAAATGAAAGAGATCTAACGTTTCCTTAAATGCCGTACTAGGAACGATAACACCAATTTTATTGGAAAACTATTGTCATATAAATAGCAATTTAAACTAATAATATGGAAGGAAACTAGTGTGAAGTGGAAAGTAAGTATATTTAGTGGCATTGAAGAGGCTTCAAAACTACTGGTCATAAAAAATAATATTTTTCCATTGGAAAACTTATACCTGCTCTAATGTCGCAATATTCTTAAAGAGTTGGAACCTCCTCGAGAAAAACCTAAATTATACACGGGCAAAGCTGCAGATAGAAAGCTAGTTTATTATAAAAATAGTCTAGAATTTTCTACAAGAAAATATTTAATAAGAACCTGTATACATATTGTCATGGTCTTGCACTGACTGATGCATAGCCATGGTCATTCATTAGCATGTTTTGGTCAGTGACCACGAGGAAAATCGTTCGCTTTCCATTGTTCATGGGCATATAAGGTAAGGGGGTTACTCGGTGTTTGCATTTATTGTTTGACCTTGAGCAAGGAAGGGTAACGTTAACGTGATTGTGGATATTGTTCAAAGTGATTTTTGTTGCTGTATAAACGATTATAAAGTGAGTACCTAATCCATTTTAAAGATTTTCATGGAATCAAGGGTAAACGAGCTGACGGATCACTTAAATGGCAAATGAGCGCAGTTCAACGCTGCACTCCACAATCGATAATGCGTAATTGCGTATACTTGTGTATTTTCAGTTAGGTATACCAGCTATTGGTTAAAAAATGATAGGTAGTTAGTTGTTTTACACTAACGTCACAGTCATACCTATAAATTTAACAAAATTCCCTCACTTGCCCATTCATGTATCTTGTACAAAACATACATACATGTTTTAACATAAATTTTGTTCTTATTTATATAAAGAAGAAAACTTCAAAAGCTTTTCGAATTTCCATTTTTACTTTCTACCTTTAGCTTCCTTGAGTTCAACTTCTGTTAATCTAAAGTCAGACAGTTTGACTTTTGACGTGATAAATAGTATCCTTAAGATTCAGAATGAAAAGGACGAAATGATTCATTTATCAAAGCCTACAGAATTTGTTTGGGACTCTCAGAACCTGATGTTTGTGAAAGGTAAAGCTCAAATTAATATAATAACAAGTACCTTGAAATAATTTATTTCTGTAATATTTCTATTAAATGGTTACATTTTAACGGCCGTATTTCATCGCAGACGATGAACCTTTATGAAAGACGAATTGAACTATAAAAAAACAACCTGTACCACAAAATTTAAATTCATTTGCTTTATCAATACTTACACCAAGACGATATAACGGACCGGTAATAAAACAATATTAAGAAAGTCGGCAAGAAAACCCAGGATTTAAAGTTATAGCCATTTAGCAAAAATTGTTAGAACCTATTTCCTAAGAATTTAGGAATACTGTCACGGAGTAACATTTAAAAGTTTTATACTGTCTTTTGTCCGCCCATTCTACCCCTTTACAACTTATAATTGTGTTATTAAAAGTTTCTCAAGCAATTCTTTGCTCATATATTAAGCAATAAGATAATTGAAAGTATCTGTTTCGTCTATTCAACGTACATAATTTATTTTTATAGTCCTTTTATTCAAAGAAATCTGTTATTTTGAAATAAATACCTACTGCTATTTTCAAAAGCTGTATATTTGATTTCGATCTAGTATAATATACCTCTAGTATGTATTTAGTCACAAATACATACTAAAAGTCATTTATATGTTTCATTATATTCAGCAGATACAAATTTTATCACCGTAAAATGTATTCGTTGAATTATTCACGAAAATCGCCACAATTATTATCCAATATCTGAGCCAGCCGAGATATTATTATATAGAGGTATTTACTAGTACATATTACAAGGAATGACTTTTACGAACGTTTCTATTTATAACTTTCTTTGCAGAAACGAAGCTCTTTCAATCGTTCAAGAAATGGCAAAAGTGAGGATATGAACTACGTGACAATGCGTTCTCTTCAGTTCATAGTCCTAGTCATATCTACGTTAGTAACTTTTTTAATCGTGGGGTGTCATGGCGAACAAAAACAGCCAGATCCAGACTCGTATGTGAGTCAGCTGATCGCAGATTTGTGGTTGGAAGGAGCCGAAGTCATCAGGATTATATGGCGAGATTGTTCGAAGAAAGTAAGTAGTGTGGTTCTTTAATTTTTGCAATGTTGTAATAATGATATGGACTTACACGTTTACAGCCAATACGGTCAGTATTGACCAAGGAAGTTAGAGAAGGTTTTCAATAGTTTCCCATCGGTAATTAAATACTTATGATCAAATAAAAAGATCAAAGATTAGTACTACCAATCTCAATAAATTATTATTTTGTTTGTGATCGATAAAGAGTAGTTGACTTAATTTTATTTTAATATCCGTCTGGTAGATTAATTTAAAACCTAATGTTTTAAATTACACGTATTTTTTTAATTTTTTACAGAAAAGAATAGTTTCTATGATATATTGATTCGAAATGTCGCGTGACGTCACTTCTATGTTCTGTGTTTCCCGTCAAATATGACTCGGGTATCTTCAAGTCCCGAGTGAACAGGTTGCTCATACGCGTGCTCCATCGTCGGCCAAATCATCGCTTACCATCAGGCGAGATGGTATAATAATCTACCAGACGGATATTAAAATAAAAATTAGTCATCTACACTATTATACATAATGTGTCGTCACTTAGTGACGTAACGACCTCCCACTCCTAAACTTAACTTCATTTTATATAAGTATTGTAACTTTATACGAGAAAATAAAAAAAATACGTGTGTAATATTTTTTATTATCTAAATGACGGACTAATTAGATTTTTAAATTTCATTTCCTAGCAACTATCCTATTATTACATACTTACAAACAACGTCTAGTTATAAGTACACGTACGTGTATACAAGCGCATCTTATATAAAAATAGAACAATATGGGATCCGCTCGTTATACTAACTTGGTAGCCTTTTCCTTTAGCAAAACTATATTTAGATAATAAGCCGTTTCCTTCACGATGCGCTGCGTAACAATAACCGTCAAGGAATATGGTTCTTCGTATAATGATATCCTTATGAAGCATTGTAAGCTTTGCAAGAAGACAGGAATGGTCAACATGTTGGATTTTTCTTTCCTTTGTGGTCTTATTTAACCTTTTAAAATCGTATTACGTTCGTTATTTGGTTCTTATCTTATGGATCTCCCTTAAAGTTTGATATTAACAAGATGTTTAAGACTGACTCCATGACCGTAAGTACTACTGCCGGGCAAGGGGTATCGGGTTCGATTCCCGGGTCGGGCAAATTATTAAAGGTTTTTTTTAAATCTCTGTAGTAGCATGGAGTCTGGAAATGTGCCCGGTATATGGCAAAGCTCACCCTCTATTACATGGGACTCGTAACATAAATAGTGAAAAGTGGGTGTTACTTTTGTATGCATCTCTGCCTACCCCTTCGGGGATAAAAGGCGTGCTGTTATGTTATGTTATGTTTAATCTTAAACCTTATAAAATAATAAATACAAAATCTTTTAGACCCAAAGCACATTAATGATTACAAGAAACATGCCGATAATTATCAAATATATCACATAAATTGTAGAACGCTTCGTCGCTCACCAGCAGGCGAGATAGTGGACAAAGGTCGGCCCATCAAATATAAAAATTAAAAGTCGACTTCAAAAAACCAAAAACTAATAACAAACAAAAATTTAAAACTAAAAAGAAAAAAATAACTATTATTAGTATTGATAGGTTACCCATCCTGACCCAACTGATAGGTTAGAAGTCGGCGCCATAAATTCTACCTATACAAAATTATTCATTGAAACCTTAATAGATACCTAATTTACAATTTTGTGGCTATAAGTTATATCTATCATTATGATACGAGTTTATATTACCTCCTCTTTAACTGTGACTTTGACTTTTGACTAAGAAAAAAAAGGCTTATAAAATACCTAGTCTAGCTACTTCTAGAATACCTAATTCTATTCTTAGAAATATCTTTATCCCTATTACAATGATCATTTTAATATAACATTGAATTTACGAAATCTTTTATTCTTATGCTTTGCCAATTTCATTAGAATACTCGAATATATAACGTCTATAAATTATTTTGGGGATATTCTTCCTTAGATCTTTTCTCATTGATATTCAATTCTGTAGTACACTTAAGTACGTTCATACTTAAGTAGATGTTCCCATTAAGGTTATTTGTGGACATTCAACAATATCCTTAGTCTGTCCATGATGATACCTCGTATAAGCCTACAGTAGCCGTTCGAAATCGCTTTAATCGGCTTTGCTGGCAGACGCGTTTTTTATAAAATTGTATAGATGTGTACTTTAATTGAATGATATTAAAACTGTTTCGTTGTAATGTTTTGCTGTATTGTTTTCTGATAATGTTGTAATTTTAATGATGTACGAATTAACAAATGTATGTAGGTATAAATATCTAGTATATCAGAATTTTCTTATGAATACAATTTTAGAACTGCCTCGTTGGCTAAGTGGTCGCTAATGCAACTGCCGGGTCCTTGGTCGAGACCCCTTGGTCTCGGGTTCGATTCCCGGGTCGGGTAAAGTATTATTAGGTTTTTAAAAAAACCTTAAAAGTAGCACAGATCCTAGAATTGTGCCCAGTATATGGCAATACGCTCACCCCCTATTACAAGGGATTCATAACATAAATAGTGAAAAGTGGGAATTGTACAGTGGCATTAAGCGCGGAAATGTGCACCTCTGCTTGCCCCTTCGGAGATAAAAGGCGTAATATTAAGTTGCAATTTTAGAACGATAGTAGGTACCACCATTTTGAAAAGAAATCATAACTTTGATGTACCTGGTTAAAATTTCATTAAGTTATTTTTAAATTATTTTTTACAGCTTTGTTGAACTATGTATCTGTAGTGAGTAGTTAATCTAGTATGTTTACTATTAGCCTAAATACTTAAGAAGTAACGTAACGAACCTATATAATACCTGTGAGATTAATTTTCTTCTCATTACAAAGAAATGAATGCCTAATTTGAGAGTAAATATTTTATACGAACAGGAGATTGTAAGACGCCATGCTTATGTTATAAGTACATACCTTTGTAGACAAGGGACTTTTGTCTGCGAACGACAAAATTGATTCAGGGTTGTAGAAAAGATACATCAAAAAAAGATTTAGCTGCAACAGGGTATGGATTCTTAATAAAATACTAACTAACAACTAATAACTTGCTTCTGCCAGCCGCTACATAGCCACGATCGCCGAAAAGTAGCCTATGTGCTTTTTTATTCGACAACCTATTTCTATGTTACGGATTATGCTATATACTCCATTATTGTCACAAGCATCAGACCATTATTTTGTTATTTTTGTGTATTTTAAATGTTATATGTTTGTGTGAGGCAGTATTCCTTCTAATAAATAATTATGTATATAGATTGTAAATGGAAAAATGTAGGTACCAATTTTTTTTTATAAATACTTGATGGGCCGACATTTGACCACTATAACTATTAGTATTAGTAATATTACATATCTCACCAAGAGAACAAGATCTTTGTAATGTAGTGCTAGTCAGTCGAATAAAGTCTCACGTCTGCACAGGTTTCAAACGTAGGCCTAATAGGATCCAAAGTTGCAAAGTTGAATACATGATACATGTTTCCAAAGTTAACGTGTCTTTAAATATTCTCATTAGGTGTACGTAGTCCATAATTAGAATGTCGATAAGTTCAGCAGACACTTTTTAACAATAATGTGTAGGTGAGAAGTTCAAGTTCTGTAGACTTTGTCTAACTTTTAAATAAGTAAGACATCTAAAATGTCAATTTAAATTTATACGTACACAACAAAGAAGAATATTTTTACGAGATTTTATTTTTCGTTTCGAGTTGATCAGAGGTGTTTTCTGCGATACTGAAGAATATATTTCTGTTTTAGTTCATATTCATAACCTAGAGTGACTACAATCATGCTCATCATAGAAATTAACGTTTTAAGCATATCTCACTATATATTGTATCAAGTAATTTCTACTACAGTCGCTACCACTGCAGTTCTTCTCATAACATTTTGACTACATTATTTTTACACCCCAATTAATACAAACAAATATTCAACAGCTGGTGGACGTGAAGGACGTTATAGATCACAAGGAATACTTCCCGAAGTTCGTGAGATGTATGAAGAGGAAAACTCTAAGAGCTCTCGACCGGTCGTTGACCCCAGACGTGGTGCCTGTAGCCGATGGGATCAACTTGGTGCGGTTCGAGCTCGTCGACAGATCTGGAAATGTTATGCCTGAGAATGAAACTAGGTACGTTAGTTATCCATAAAATGCGTATATTTGTTTATTACTAATGATTTTATAAGTAAAACGGTGTAGGTAGATAGATTACCTATACAACTTTAAATTTTTAAAAACGGCACACTAGCGCACACTTGAAGACGTAACAGTGCAACGCGACTCAGAAGTAAAATCTGGCCTACATTGGTCCACATTTGCCACATTTCGTGATCTACACCTTCTTACCCGACTACGACGAAACCAAAAAGAGAACCATTATTATATACTGTAGAGCAATGTGGCATACCCCCACGGCTTTCCTCTATGAATATTTTCTTATTTGATACTTTTTGAGGCGTTTTTTTGTAATCGGGTTTTAGTTATTTATATGTTATAAGTATTGTTTATATCGTATCGTAATTATTTTGTTGTGAAGTCCAATAAACTAAAGATATATATAACTCATACCACTATATCCATCTGGCTTATAGTTCCGGTTCTTATTTGAAAGTCCAATTATGTTTTGTCTAACTAGGTACCAATCCCCATGCCGCTCGAGCCATAAGGCCGAATACAGATACTCAAACCTTTGCATGATAATTTCCCAAGAATTTTTGCTTACACGCAGAAATCCGAAGATAGTCGTCCAAGCCTTGTGGAAACTTATTTCCCAGTAATTGGATTGGCGATCTGATAACCGTGCCTCCGTGTGAAATAATTGTATTCACTCTCATTTTGTTAGGATTTAAAAGGATATTATGTAATGAAAAATATTCATTGTAAGAAACGGAACTGAAATGTTTGACCATAAATTGGATTTTTTTTTATGGGATAAGTCGGTAAACGAGCTGCCGGATCACCTGATGGTAAGCAATCGGCGTCGCCCATGGACACCTGAAAGTGCGTTACATACGCGACATAAATAAATAACTAGTAACTTTCTTTCTGTGTATCCAAGGAACAAATCGTCAGGCTATTAATGCCTGTATTATATCTATGTATTTTTTTCCGTCATCGCATCATTTTCCTTTCTGTAAACTTACGTCAATGTACTAAAGTGCATTTTAAGCTTCAAATGTTATTATACTTAGGTCGAACAAAATCTTCGATCGTCAATCGTTTGAAACACACAAGTCAGGGTAATGACCCCGCGACGATTCCTCAACGTCATTCAATCCGTGTGTCGCATAAAATTGCGCAACAAACTCCAATTTCATTGTTGTGGCGTAATTCTACACTTATTATATGAAATAACAAAAACTGCATTAACCATAATGAACATTAAATTATGTGGGCTTGTACTTAATGAATAATTACTATCATTGCAATTATCTGTGTATGTGTATTATTATAACATAACATAACATCACGCCTTTTATCCTCGAAGGGGTAGGCAGAGGTGCACACAGAAGTAACGCCCACTTTTTACTATTTATGTTATGAGTCCCATGTAATAGGGGGTGAGCCTATTGCCATATACCGGGCACATTTCCAGACTCCGTGCTACTACTTAGATTCTTTTTTAAACTCGGGGATAAAAGGCGTGATGTTATGTTATATGTTTATATAAATACGGTACTCGACGAGTTTTCGTCGAGTACCGTATTTATAGACACAATTAAAGAACAATAGGTTGCGGTCACCGGTGACCGCTTGGTGTTTGACAGTTTAAATACCTAAATACAGCTTTCATAGACTTTTTTTTTAAAGGGGGAAAAACATCGAATGCCTGCTCCCGGCTGGGTGAGGCGGAAGGGAGTGTCAGACTCTTACTGACTAAAAACCACCCCGTTCCTTCTACTGCACGTCGAGCCGGAGCCCCGGTTACCCGTTAAGTTCTCCGCGACTTTCATAGACTTAGTACTAATACACATTTCGCTATTGTAATTACACAGGTCAAGCATATGTATGCTACCTGTGCATGTAACCGAAATAATTGCTGGCCCAGTGTGGGGTTTGCTGCTCGAATACAGACAGGAGTATTATTAAGCAAACTGCCTACGAGTAGGCAGTTTCACTCTAGTGCTATTACTGGAGTAGGTATGATAATTGAAATTTCTAATAAGCTGGACATTATAACTACAACATTGGTCGCAAGTGTGAAAGGTTTGGTTATTGAGCCGGAAAAAGTTATGTTGTTCTTTCAAAAAATAGACCCACAGTAGTGCTGAGTGGCATTATTCATTCGCCTTTACAAAGTAAAGTCATAACATGTCAACCAGTCAAAAGTTACTTTGTATTTGTGTACATATCCCAAAGGTGATTCAATAAATAGTTCTGAGACTTTTGTTTACAATAACATAACATCACGCCTTTTATCCCCGAAGGGATAGGCAGAGGTGCACATTATGCCACTGTACAATGTAACACCCAATTTTCACTATTTATGTTATCAGTCCCATGTAAATGAGGGTGAGCCTATTGCCATATACCGGGCACAACTCCAGACTCCGTGCAATTACTAAGATTTATTAAAAACCCAGTAATACTTTGCCCGACCCGGGAATCGAACCCGAGATCCCTTGCCCGGCAATTGCACTTGCGACCACTCGGCCAACGAGGCAGTCTCGTTAACCTTTGTTTATTAATATAATTATGCCATACAAGCGTAACGTATGCTTGTAATATGTTGTTCTCTGAAATAATGTCTTTATGTTATACATTTAATGATAAATAAATAAATAACAATATTTTACACCAACATAATATTATCAGTACGTTCTCATTTTACTAACATATATCATCCAATTATTTTTACACCATTCGTAGACAAGTCACCGATTCAAATCATAAAATAGAAAACGGTAGTCGCCATGAAACCAGACGTTTGAAATATAAAACTCTTCACATTCGCCACAACAAACGAAACACGGTAATTAGTGCTTGTCAAAACTTGACCACCGCTGCGCCATTTGCAAAAAAACCTGCCAAAAACAGTTCACTATTTCGCAACATGCATCAGAAAAACTGTTGGCGTCCGCCATTCTGAATTTTATATGACATCATTCGCAATTCAAAAAAGCAACCGAAACGGTTTACTTTTTTGCAGACTTTTTAAAACTGACATGTTATTTTGTTTACAGAGTTTAATCACAAAATTTTATTCAGGTTTGTAGATTTACCTACTAACTTTGGCTTCCTATATTTCGTAAAATGGAGTTTAGAAATACTATTAAGCACTTTCAGAATAGAATTATAAAATCCTTTCATAACTTAATTGTTTCTATGAAATTGTTTAAGTGCTTTCAATTATTGTTGGGTATTCAATTCATAGTAATGAACTTTGTAATTTATTTCAGATTAAATTGCTACAGAAAATAGTGTTCACTGTACTCCTGACTTTTCAATATCAGTAGTTGTAGGTTACACAGAACAAATTCCTGTTCTCAAATGGAAAAGAAACCCTTTTGATATTACTTTGTCAGCAAAATTCTATAGTAGAAATAGTGTTGGTTTAAAACTGGTATAAATCCGTCGGAAGGGTTAATTAAGAAATAAAACATTCAACAGAGACGGGCAGCAGCAGCGGACTGTCTTATGTGAAGGAAGAGACGAACAGTAGAATTTCACGGATATCATCAATAGATTATGATGATAATAATATAAATATATTGAAATTGAAATAAATTACAAGCCTACCAATAGGGTTGATGACAGGCCATGAAAATTGAAAATCTAATTAGTCCGCCAGTTAGGTAATGAGAAAATATTAGACACGTATTTTTTATTTAGTCGTATCTATGAGAAAACCATACTTAGATAACACTATAGGTGTGGAAGTTGACCATTGTGGAGTATAAAACGTACATAAAAGCGACGTCACACAATATTTCAAATCGATATATTTTCGAAAATATTTGTTCCCGTAAGAAAATAAAAAATACGTGTCTAATGTTTTTAAGTAATCTAACAGACGGATATTAAATAAAAATTAGTCATCTACTCTATTCAGGCAGTCCATTTTATACGGCATTGTAATAAAAATACGACTAAGTTATTCACCATTGTGTAGGCAGTTGAGGCAGCTATTACAATAATACCTCCTTAAACAAAAGTGTTCGCATATTTTCATGATGCTCCTCAGTAAATAATACGGTACATTAAATATTAGGGATATATCATAATTCGGTTTCCCGGAAAATTTATACGAAGAGTTTCACTCACGCGTAGGATGACGTGTATGGCCGAAAATTATACTACCGTCAACTTGGCCAGTTGGACGTATCTTGTATTAAATCAGAGAATTTCTGTACATAGCCTTTGTATATTTTGGCTATATTTAGCGACAGGAAAACGTAGTTCTTTTTGTTATACGATAGAGTAATGGCACTTTTAATGTTTTAAGAGTGATCCTATTTGTAAGTGAAAAGGCGAATCCTATGTTTTACGAAATAAAAAGTTGTTTTTGATCATAAAATCATATTACCTAATAAAACCAAATTACCTTATAATGAATTATTTTGTAATTAATATTATATTTTTTTATTTTGTGTAAAACATTGTCTTTATTAACGAAACATTTTTGGCCTACAGATTAATGTCATCTATTTGATCCTTTATAATTATTTTATAAGGCTTTTGATACGTGAGATGTATCTATCATATTTTATCATATTCTATCATATTTTAAGCCATCAAAGGACTGCGAAACCCTGTGCATTTGTTCGGTTTCCAGTCTTTCTAATGAGGACTTTTTGACCTAAGGCACATTTACTGAAAGAAAGGTTACCGAATTTTTTTTATGGCATAAGCCGGTAACGAGCAGACGGATCACCTGATGGTAAGCGGCGTCGCCCATGGACACATGGAACACCAGAGGCGTTACAGGTGCGTTACCGGCCTTTTAGGGATTAGGAGTTTGATGATCGTTGGGAATTCAGAAATTGGGGAGATTGGGGAAGGGGAGGGTGGGTAATTGGGCATCCGGTAACCTCACTCACACGACGAAACACACCACAAGCATTGCTTCACGTCGGTTTTCTGTGACGCCGTGGTATCACTCCGGTCGAGACGGCTCATTCGTGCCGAAGCATGGCTCTCCCACACTTAAAAATTACTAATAATGTAAAGCTTTTAAAATAATTTTATTATGTAACAGACTTAAGAGTTCTATAATCACTATTTTATAATTATGAGTTCAATAAAACTAGCAGGACATTTTTTCAAAATACACCACATATTCTTTATTTTGTAGATGTGTGACACACGATGTTTTTACGTACCTAGGTAGCAAAAATTGTTACCTTTTAGGATATCTAGAGTCAAAGCCTGTGTAAGCAGCCATTTTTCCCACAAAATTGTAATAATTGTGTCTTTTTTTCACAGTACCTGGACAGAAAAGGAATTAGAAGAAGGAGAGTGGCGTACACTTGCAGTTCAAAGAATGGCCAAAGTTCTCAGAACTCACGTTATCAAGTTTGATTTCGACGACGGAAAAAGTATTGACAAAGGTCGGCATTATTTATCACTTAATTTGGGTCGTTAAGTTTACTTAGAGATACTTAATTGTAATAGATTGGTTCCATACGATAAATTACAATTAATATAATTAAATAATAATTGATTATACAATTAGATGTTGTCCTGATCTAGATGCTAGGTGATTTGTGGTCGATTTTCAGAACTATTTAAATACTAGCTGTTACTCGCGACGTAGTCTGCGTAAAATATGATTCCTTTTTTTATCTATGCGAGCATTTAATAGGGATAAAAAGTATCCTATCACCTTAGTCAGCCCATACCCTGCCTGTATACTAAATTTTGGTGATTGACAGATAAATATGCAAACATCAAAACAAAGAAACTTTCACATTTATAATATTATTGAAATATTGAGTAACTTTCGGATTATCAGGGAATTTTCTATGAAGATCACTCCCGAAATGTATTGCAAAATATCTCATTTGCAAAATTAAAAATAAAAATGAGTGTATAATTTTTACAATGCCTATACAATCATGACACATAACAAATCTTTTACAGTTGAATACCGAGGTCGACGCCGTCATCAGATGATGACAATGATGATGTTTGGCATCGTGTCCATCGGCATGGTCCTGGTTCCTATGGGCTTTCAATTCCTCGCAGTCTTGGGAGGAAAAGCGCTTTTGCTTGCTAAAATGGCGCTCATTCTTGCTTCGATACAAGGACTTAAGAAGGTAAGCATCAACATTTTTTAATAACTGATATTGTTATTATAATATAATTCACATACCTAAATACGTAACTTTATTTTATTGTCATTAATGAAAAATATAAACATGTAAAACTGAAAACCTTGATAATGGCGTAATCTAATATCGTCGGTTATGTAGTTTTATATAAAAAAACCAAGGCGTTTAGTATACAATTTATGAGCTTCATAAAGTAACGTAAGACTTTAATAAGGTTCTATTTTTATATCAAGAAGCACAGATATAACTCTTCATAACATTCTGTTAGGGTATATTTTATTGTAAGTAAGCTCATATAACTTAATTAACTTCTAACAACATAATGATATCACAAGAGCCACAACGAACTAGCATTAACACAATAATACAATGGGGATGATGACACGGTAAGAAAATTAAATATTTATTAGGTGCGTCAGTCATAAAGATGTTGAGAAAATATTCGACACGTATTTGCTCTTTTTGAAATTACAAAGAAGTCAATATGCCTACATAAAAGGAATTAAAGTGCTATATAACGTGGCAATGCTGCCAGTTATTTGGGCACCTTACCTCATGACAATGATGAGGAGAATATTTTTGATGCCTTAACTTAGTTATTCTTTTTTCCTATATTTCCTATCATATTTTTCTATATTTGTTATGTTGATTTTAGTTGTAAATACTTTAGTTTTTTTATCTAAGCTATTTGGATATTTAGTTTAAGTTTATTACAATCGAAGGTACAAAAAAAATGACAAATGATAAAAATATAAAGGTATAAGGTTGAGTAATGCAGTTGTAGAAAGTGTATAATTGTTTTAAAATACGTGTCCAATATTTTACTAGTGATCTACCACACACAAAAATATTACATAATTATTTTGAGTCATCATTTCTATCAAAAACTAACATGAATATACATAAAAGTATTCTCTTTTAGGTAGACAATAATTATGATGGGTATCATGACCGGGGGAAGGTATGAATTCCAATAATCCAATCTTACTTCTTTCTTAATCTAACAGATAATAACCTAGTAGATATTATTAATAATATTATATTAAAAACCACGTTTAGGCTTTAACGCACAATTACTAAAATCACCCGGGGTAACCCGTTAACAGATGTTCTGTTCCAGATCGCTTCAAGTCCGGTGAACTACGGGTTTTATCACTCCTATCCATACGACTATTACGAGAAGAGGAGTCGAAATGACTGGCCTCCACCTGGAATCATGCCTGGCACACCTCCACCTGCCTTATCAGTACACAACCCTTGGACAGACACAGAAATCATAAAACGTGATAGAATTCATATTGCTACTGATAAAGAACTTAAAACTAAAAGCCCAGAAATAGTGACGTGGAAACCTGAAACATCGAAATCCATCAAACAAGAAGCAGAACCGAGATTGTATCCGATTTACGCTGGGCCGTCAGACGTACCAGGTCCCATTTTCACAGCCATCGATGCACCTACTCCTTTGGCCGATTTGACGACACAACCAGGTGATGTGCAAGCCGATTACGCAATCGATCTCCCGTTCAATCGATTTCATTTTCAAAGTCCCACTACTGTCGTTTCAGCTTGATGTGTTTGTACAACTGTTTTATGCCTTGTATCACGTTGTTAGAGGGATATACTCTTATATAGCTCAAGTACTGTATCCCAATAGACATGTATTTTATGCTAATTATTAGAAAAAATAATTGTATGTAGTAGACAATAAAATCGATTAATGTTGGTTGTGGTTTTACTTAGTTATGCTAAGTATTCAATGTATTGCGACTTCCAATAATCTATATTATTATATACAATTGGTTCTTATCTATAATATATCTAATATATTTCTCAAAACTTATTCAGTAAGGTCACACTTCAGACATTTCAATTTGCAATTTTAATAGAAAGGAAATATGTAATTCAATCTGAACGGAATGACACGATATGTGTACAATGATCTTCAACACTCACGTTCTGAGTATACAAACCTAAATAGGTTTCAAGCCCCAAATTAAATTATGTTTGACTATGGTAAAAAGCCAATTGGAAAAGCAAACCATTCCTCTTTCACGACGGCCGCAAACTATCTGAACCTTCATACATATTCATTGAAGTATATGTCAACAGAGAAACGCTAGCTGAGTCACGTAACTGGCAATCAATGTAATCACAAGCTATTTCCTTGTCAAAGGAAGCAACGGCCGCGCCTTGAATACAAGCTGGGCGGAGCTCATCTATAATTGGCAGTCACACTCCTAAGCAAACTGAATATGAACGCATACATCATAAATGTGTGCATAATCACCAGCGCAACTTGAGACCTGACGTTTTTAAAGTAATGGATTTCTTATTCTATCTCTTTAATAGTGTAATAAAACTTCAATATTCGTAAAATTACTTCGTCGCACGAATAGAGGTATTTGTATTCAACTGTCAAAGTTATGGCCTCTAGACCAATAAGCGGCATCTAAATGTCTATCAACATCGCATACCGACTAGTTACTGTCAATTTTTCTCATTCAATTTCTTTCAAGTCACATCGTTTAACTTAGCATCGAGCACGTAACAAAACTTTATATTTTAATCGCCTTGTTGGAGGACACAATTCCATTTAATGGGTATAATTTTTTGAAACCTTTCAATTTGAAAAAAATTTCAAACGAATTCAAAAAAAATTTCAAAATTTCAGGCGAAGTCAATCATACTCAAATGCATGGTAAACTAAGTCTAAAAGTAACTAAAAGTCTACACAGGATGAAGCTTGTAAGGAAGAAATAGATATCTACCTAGAGTATAAGATAAAAGTTAGCTCCCAAAAAATATGATTGAACGTCAAACTTTACATAACAAAGCATTTAATATTTTACGTAAAATCTGAGCTTTCTAATGATTTATTATACTAACGGAGACTTTTCTTAAGTACTACTAAAGTCGTTAATTGATAAAAGCATTTATAAGATTATTTTTCAGGGGAAATTCAATGCCACTTAGTTTATATCCTGGTTATATATGGTCATATTTATATCCTGGTCATATCCTGGTCATATTAAAACTTATTGGAGACTGAGAAATCAGCGATAGATAATGTCTAGATTACGATGGTGTCAACCATCTAATGTATTTAAATTTAACGCGAAAGTTTGGCAATAATAATAATTAATACATAATATAACATCACGTCTTTTATCTCCAAAGGGCTAGACAGAGGTGCACATTACGGCACTTACCTTATGAATAACTAATAGTGAAGAAGTAATAGTGCCTACTGATTGTTTTATGCGGTAAATGTAACAATTTTTATCCTATTCTATAATAGAAAACTCTAAATTGAATATCAAAGTTGTCGAAACAAAGACACCTAGTGTTAAATCAATTTTAGTTTTGCTAACAAATCCATAATATATACTGTTCAGATTCAACGTGTTACCCAAATTATAAGTCTGTTTCTAGTCCTCAATTAAATCTAGGGTTTCTAGAAGTGTATCTATTTATAACTTAACCAAATATTACTTTGTTACGTAGATAACAAATCCAAATTTAATTTTACATATGAATCAAGTTCTAGAGAAAATTTCATAGATATAGGTACAAGTAGGGTTTAAAACAATACCAAATAGCTTTGGGCAAGATTCACTGAATATCTTGTTGAGATCTTCATAAACAACAATATAAAAATGAAGTCTATTCTAAGAATAAAACTAACATCACAATAAAACATCATCACAGTCCTTTCCACAATTTTAATGGAATACTTGTTATTTCTATCTATGCAATAACATTTTTTTAGTTAAATATCTTTGCCTGCCTCGTTTGCCGAGTGGTCGTAAGTGCGGCTGCCGGGTAAAGCATTTCAGGTTCGATGCAAAGTAAAGGCAAAGTATCACTAGGTTTTAAAAAAAATATCAGTAGTAGCACGGAGTCTGAAATTGTGCCCGGTATTACATTACATGAGACTCATAACATCAATAGTTTAAAGTTGGTGTTACATTGTACAGTGGCTTTATGTGCCGTAATGTGCACTTCGGTCTCCCCCTTCGGGGCTAAAAAAGGCGTGATGTTATATATTTTTTATGGAATAGCAATCAAGTGAATTAATCTGATGGATTTACTGATGGAAAGCAATTAGTGTCACTTACGGACATTTGCTTCAGGGGAGTTACAAGTGCGTCGTCGTTCGTGTAAATGAGTATTCTCTGTTCTTGAAAATTTCAATAATGTAGCGGTAGAAAGGCTTAGGTACTTATTTAATTATTATTATCACTACCGCGTTATATCCTTATATAGAATCTAAAATCAATTTATTTAACCCTAAAGCCTACAATTGTTTATTGTGAAAGACATCAAGAGCAATTCCAACTTGATCGAGGAATTAAATTAAAACAAAACAGTTCATTTCAATTTGTCGCCAAATTGAGGTTGTATTTGTTAATAGACAAAGGTTTGACTGGTTACTGTATTGTGAGCAGATAGATGCTTTTTATGTTATGAGGTCGTAGTTAATTAAGTATGGCAAGTTACTACTCTATAATATTATATATCTAATTATTACCATTTTTGATGCCAATGTAGGGAAATCCTTATGGAGTCGTCTCGCCTGGGGAGAACGAAGGGGACTCTCACACTACCTAAGTTAAATTACAAAAATACGGCTTGAAGTGCAGGAATAGGAATGGGGTCGTCTGTAGTCAGGAGTTAGATACTTTCTCCCGCTTCACCCAGGCGGGAGAAGTAATTCGATGATTTTCTCCCCTTAAAAACAAAACTACCTAAATTATTTTTTTCGTGAATAGGTAGGTAGAACTCCAATCATTCTCAAGGTGTTTGATTCACGGTTACAAAAAAGTACAAATGAAAGTGTATATAGTAATCATTTCGTCCTCTACCACCATGGTTTTCCATAGTTTATGCTTTATGAACACTCTTTTCAGCACATAAAACAAAATATTGCTCATAGTTTCGAACTGTTATATAGTATGTCTTAGACTAGTTCTGTTGAGCCGCGTAGAACTTAACGAGTTACCGGGGCTCCGGCTCGAAGTGCAGGAGTAGGAATGTAGTTTTTAATCAGCAAGAGTCTGACACTCCCTCCCACCTCTCCCAGGTGGAAGAAGTCATTCGATGATTCTCCCCCCTTAAAAAAAGACTGGTTCTGTTGAACACCGCATTTTATTATTAAAAGATTAACGTTCTTGTCTGATATGCAAAACAATGTTTATTTAGTCTCTACTAAAGTTTACTGACGCCTTCTTCGTTCCGTGGGTGTGAAATACAATTTACTCGTTATAATGAAGAAATAGGAAACACTCTAGTATATCTATTTTTAGAACAACAAAGTCCAATGCAATTTTTTGTTTTTGTGTTCATACAAAGAGCTGTGAATTATATTCCTTTATAAGTCTAAGGTTTGCGTATATTACTCAATGTTAAATCTTTTTAGAAGTAAACAGAAATTTATAATTATTACTAGCTGTGCCCGCGACCTTGTCCGCATGGAATACTTTGGACATATCCTCCGTGGGTAGGTGATAGCGTGATAATATGTAGCCTATAATATGTTGACCTGTAAGTAATTTTCATGCAAAATCTGAAGTAAATTCATGCTGTTTTTTTTTTAAATTAGCCCGGATATATATACAGACAAACATACAAAAATTCTAAAGACTACATATTTAGCTTTGATATTGACATCAGATCACATTCCAAGCACTCTTTAAAAAAATTTCAACGTACAGTTTTGATTTTACTACGATTTTGTCATATGTGTACATAGATTCAACATATTCACATATGTATTCACAACAACAACTTAAACTTGTATCCAAATAAATTAGTAATGACATAGATGTTTGCAAGGAGATATGAAATGAACAGTTACTAATAAACTAAGAACGCTATTTCAAGAGAGCTATAACCATGGGGAATGATAACCTTCATGAAACTGCGGTCTAAGGGCAAGCTTAAGAAGTATTCATGGCTCCATAAGACATCTTGCAAGGGTCCTTGCTACCCTCATGAAGCGGTTAACCCGATCATTACAATAACAGTTTGATGTGGTTACCCTTTGCACTGCGACCGAACTGATTGCGAACAAGGTTCACCTCAATTATTGCAGTGAAATATGTAACTATTGGATATACTAAATAAGGATCCGTTAACAGATGGGGATAAAGAATGGTAGAAATACGTCAGAGTTTCTACGCTGCTACTGACAATACAAACTCGATAATTATGAATTTTTTTAGCTAGTTCATAATAGAAGATCTTGTGATCAAACGATGAGGTTTAATAGCGACCTTATCCCTAAACAAATAAATTCCTTTGGATTATATTTTTTGCGATATCTCGTTGAATAAAAATGTATCGCTGATATTTTACTTCTTCGTATAGTATAAATCTTTCTTTTATTGCTATACAAATATTTGAAGGCAGTCTACCATAATACAGGGTATATTTAGAACGTGACAAGGGCAAAGCTGTAACGTTTGAAAACCGAAATTGTGAACAAAACAAACGTAAGTCGACAATTACATTGCAAAGTGTAATTGAATCGTCACAAAGAGTTTTAAGGTGTAGCGTCTTGAATTAAAG